AGTAGCTTTATGGCGTTCAAGACTTCCATTTTTGTTAGAGGATTTTTGTTCACTTGTAGTTCAGCGGCTGCAGGTGTTATTTCTGGACGAAGTGTAGGTGGTGATCGATTCAAGAGCTTCTTGAAGTGGTCGGCCCATTGTTTCCTTTGTTCCTCTTCTTTCGTAATTAAATTTCTTTCTTCATCTTTTATTGGTTTCATCTGTGTTGATCTCTTCCCTGCCAGATGGTAACCTGGTTATTTGGTACAATGTTGTCAGGTCTCTCTTACCTGCAGCCTGTTCTGCGTCACTTGCCAGTGTTTCGTAGAAGTGTCTTTTGTCTTTCCGTGCACTCTTCTTCACTTCTTTGTTCAGTGTTTTATACATTGTGCTCAGTTCCTCTTGTCGTTGAGCATCCTTGCACTGGTTTATCTTCTACTTCACCATCCTCCTATCCCTGCTCTATCAGCTTCCATGTATGCATTGAGATCCATTCCTTGTCTTCCACCTTCTTCCTTCCTAATACGGCTGTGCAGGTTTCTTTCCACATCTCTTTCAAAGACTTCCAGTGTTCTTCCACACAGGTTTCTTCAGGGATGTTCCTCGATATCTCCCATTATGTCGTAATGGCTGCCTTGAAGATCTCCTTTGTAGTTTCGTCCTTCAGTTTCTAAGTGTTGTACTTGAATTGAGGTCAATCACCAGCTTCCTTGAAGGCTTTTAACTTGATTTGGAAGGTTCCTTGCACTAGACAGTGAGTGGTGTGAACCTACATCTGCTCCTCTTCTCGACCTTGTGTCAAGTAGGCTGACTGCGTCTCCATTTTCTTGAGATTGAGATAAAGTCGATTTGATTTGTAGTATGTCCATCTGGTGTCTGGTGAAATCCATGTCGCTTTGTGGATATCTTTGTGCCTGAAAACACTGCCTCCAATCACCAAATCGTTGAATGCACAGAATTCTGCAAACAATTCTCCATTCTCATTCATTTCACCAAGCGCCTCTCGACCCATGGTTAGTTCTCTTCCCGTGTTGTCCCCTCCCAGTTTGGCATTCATGTCGCCCATTAGAATTTTGATATCGCCAACTGACGTCTTGTCCAGTGTTGATTGAAGTTGTCTGTAGAAATCCTCCTTTTTCTCTTGCTCGGCATTATTTGTAGGTGACCTTTCTTCCTTTTGAGTTGAACCTTGCTGTCATGATCCTGTATGAGGAGATTGGTTCCCACTGCATGAGAGCCTTCGATGCTGTTGGGGACATCACGATAGCCACTCCCTCAGTGTACTTGTGGTTGTCGTCTGTGTGACCGAAGCAGATTATTGATTCTCCAGTTGGCAGTTTGGACAGTCCACTTCCATTCCATCTGCTTTCGCAAATTCCAAGCACTTTAATATGATACCTTCTCATGTCTGTTGCAATCTGGGCTGCCTTGCTGGGTTCAAACATGGTGCGGACATTCCATGTCCCCACGTTTACTTTTGCTCTCATCGAGAGAAGAGAGGAGACACATCGGCCAATTGGCTTCCCGAAGTCAGGCTTTCACCAATTGGCGTCATTTCGCCTCTCCAATTCCAGCAAGGAATGATTTTGTTATTATTTTTTATATATCGTTTGTACTTTGAAGTTTCTTTAGCCGTTAGATTTGTTTTCCGGGGTAGGGTTGCTAGCCCTATGCCCAACCTTCCCTCTTTACCCGGGCTTAGGACCGGCTAGTAACTAGTGAACTAGTTAACCAGGCGAGGTTAGATTGAGCTATTTAAAAACCTCTAATTGAACTCATACAGCGATGTTAGAGCTAATGGAGACTTCTTTTTTTTGTTTGACGAGAACCAGTAGCGTTGGCCAGAGATACCTACTGTCACTGTTCATGTTCAACTTCGTTATAGGTGTATTAATGACATAGCTTTAGGTACGTTTGACTTCGCATGGCTTGATCTACTGCCTGGAGACCGTCTAGTTAACTTGAAGTACGTAGGCGACATTGTCCTGTTAGGCGAAGACGTTAGTAAAATGCAGACTCTTCTGAATGTGTTGAGCAGAAATCTGAGTATGTTTGAGATGCATTTCGCACCTGTCAAATACATGATGCTCCAGGACTGAACTTCAACTGCTCCTACTTTATGGATAAGGAGCAAAGTGATTAAGCGCGGTAATTACTTCACGTAGCTAGTAAGTTTAAGCAGGCGAATGAGATTGGTTGTTGACGAGACCTCAGCTCGATTACAGAGGGTTCATTTAGCATTTTTCAGCAGGCACATTGAGTGCCGTCAAGATTTCCGACTACCTATCAAGGGACAGCTATACTGCATTGCTTTTCTTTCGTCCTGTTATGTGGCTGTGGGAAATGGCCGTTGGAAATAGAAGACATGAAGCGGTTACGGTCGTTGATTATTGATGTCTTCGTAGCATTGCTCACTTGTTGTTGAATCACTATGTTAGCAATGTCAACGTTAAGCTAAGGGTACCAGGCAAGTTAATGAATGACGTTGTGAACCTTCGTCGACTGTGATGACTTGGATATGTGCCTCGCATACCTAACCACTGCCTACCTCGACATGCCATGCTAGGTGAATTTAGACTAGGTTGGAAGAAAATTTAGGGTGACCAAACCAAGACGTGACACCAGTTCATGAAGTCTCTAGCTGCTGATCTAAGCCGTCTGGGAAGGTGTAGACCATCCGAGTGGTGTACCTGTGACCATAGGAATCAGTGGTTGAAGACTCTTGGTGGCATGACCGAAGATTGGTCGCCAGTGTATTCACTCTTTGATATCCTCTAAAGCGTGAATATTTCTACTGATCTTTTTCTTCAGATTATTCATTTTATATTCGCTTTTGTCTACTCTGATTTGAACCTTTTGCCAAACACTTATTCTTTGCATGCTACTCTGAAGTGTGACAATTTGAACTGATGTACTTGTGTATGACGCTCTACGTGGATTTCGCCTGTCTTTCTATCAAAAAGATGTGTTCTGTCAGTAAAGCTTGTCCAGATAGAGATGAGAAGGTTTAACAAGAACTTCTGGATGGCAGTTGTTTATAGAGTGGTGCTGAATGTCTGTTGTGAAACAGATGAGATTTAGACTTTGTACTGAGCTTTTATAACTCCTGTACAGTCATCTATTACTGTGTTGTGGTCGAAGTTGCCGCACTTCATATCAAACCATGAATCGAGAATCCACCTAGATGAAAGGTAGGGAAATAAAGTAGAAAGCAGTCAAAAGTGGTACAAAGTCATCAAAAGGTAGCAAGAGGAATGAGTGAGAACGCTGCTACTCTATCTGATAATAAAGATAATGTATAGACACATCTGCTCCACTGAGATAGATTTATAGGCATATCTGTGAGAGTAAGCAGTGACATGAGCCGCAACCGATTTACATTGTCCTACACGACTGAGACCAACAGTCAAAGACTTCATGAACTGATACCATATTTTAGTTTTCTCACCTTTTCCCACCCTGAACCTTATTCAGCTCATATTGTGCTACGAGTAGATGGTGACTAGACACGCATAACATGCTTCCAAGTCACCTTAGTCAATGCAAGTTCACACCCTTCTACGTTACTAAACAGTTTTCAGCCATGCCACCAAGTCCTCAACCTTTGACTCCTGATTTCCGAGGCACCCCAGCCAGGTAGTCTGCACCTTTCTATACCGCTTAGACCAGCAGATAAAAGACCCGAGGGCTAGTGCCACGTCTTCGTTTGGTGACCCTAAGTCTTTTTTCAACCTGGTTCAAGTTCACATAGCATTTTGCGTTGAGGTTGGGATGAATAGCACATATCAAGGCTACATCGGTCGATGATGGCTCACAACATCATTAATCATCTTGCTTTCTTCGCTTAATACCCTTCGCCTATCCTTGAAATTGCTGACAAAGTGATTTGACTATGCGTGAGCAATAGTACTAAGAAATCAATTGTCGAAGACCGGTAACCTCTTTGTGTCTTCTACTTTTAACGACCATGTGCCGCAACTGTATAACAGGATACAAGGACTGCAGCGCAGCATATTTGTCTCTTGATGGGTAGTAGGGAATTTACCCGGCGAGACAGATGACGCATGTTGGCAAATGCCATAACAAGTACGTCCAACTTCATAGTTATTGATCTACTCTATGTAGGGCATCTGGTTGACTTGGAGAAGTTCCGTTAGGTTGGAGAAAGGCCAGGTGGCCAGAACAAGACGTGGTATCATTCCATTAAGTTTTTGACTGTTGATCTGAACCCTTTTGGATGGTGTAAACTGCGTCTCTGGACTCCCCGATATAGTGGGAATCAATTTTTGGAGACTCTTGGTGACATGGCCTAAAATCGATCACGGATGTATTCACCCTTTACCATCTTCCAAAGCCTGAATATTTTCACTAACCTCTATCTTCCAGTTGTTTGTTCTTCTATGCACCTTCGTCTACTTTATTATCAGCTTTTTTGTACCTACTTTTTCTCTGAATGTTACTGTAAAATACAGCGACTTGGTCCGATGCACTTGTGTGGTAGGTACCATATTGATTTTGTCTGTTTGTTGTTCACTTAATGTTGCGTGAACTGAAGTATTTTCAATCCTATGTAGACAAAGTAAAATTTCTCCGTGAAGTTAACATACTGGTAGATCATAGCCGCAGGTTTTACAACTTTCAGATGGTAGCATATGAGAAGGACTTGTGTATGATTTCACCTACAGTGTGAATCACTTATGCAGTTTTAATGTTACGGCTGTCAACACTATACACTATCAGAATTTTTTACAGTAATTGTTCATAAAATGTTTACCTAGAAATTATTTCATTTTATTTTAATTTGTATCGGTAACTTCATTCATTTTCTGTTGTATTACAGTCAAGTATGATTGACCTAATGATCTGTCAAAATGAAATTGCCTGCCTAAAGCTAGCAAATTATTATGAATAAAGAGAGATCCCGCTTCAAATTGCGCTTACTTCAAATTATAATTCTAGTGTTTTTGGATATCATAAAAAAAAGATCTAACTGTCTACTCTAGCATTTAAGACTGTATACTATGAAGTCTAGTAGAGGTAAGCTTTCTTGCCTATTTCAACTATCCTTTATAAAATAAATATGCACCTGAGAATAATTTTGCGCATATTTTAACTGTGGTCTACTATGATCTAATTAAGTTGTACATACTTATATATAAATCCAACCATAATCTAGATAGGACATAAATTCACGATTGTTGTCACGTACTTCCATGTTTATCATGCGAAAGGTAATTAGAACGGTGCCAAGAGTTGTCAGGGTGAGACTAGAAGTTATCCCCATATGTTATATAGGATTCTGTCTGAAAATATGTATTTTATGTGTTCTGTATGGATTTATTCTGATGTAAAATTGCAATCATAATTCCTTTTGGATGTAATTTGAAGCGTCAACTAACCCACTGTAATCTGTGAGCATCGTTCGTGCTCAATAACTGTACTTACTTCCCGCTTAAGAAATGGAGGTGCAGCTAACACTTTTATACATGAATAAACTATTTGAAACACAGAGGTCATTGTAAAGACTATGCAGATAGGTAGGATATTCATACAGAACACAGAAAATGTCCGTATTTTCACGAACAACCGTACAACATATGGCTAACAACACCTGGGATAATTTTTAGCCTCCCCCTTATCTCGAGATCAAATTTCACTCTGTTTGCCAGGTAGTCGGTGTCATAAGCTTTCATACAATAAGTATGATTCATAACCTAGTACATTAACACTTGTATCGGGTTGAGTTGCGTTATTTTATTTGTAACATTAACGTTCAGATAGCCTGTAATCTAGTTTATAGAATTATATTTGTAGATTATTTTGGTATATGTACTTCCCAATGAATGATGAACAAGCACGTGATTTTTTTATGATAATGATGAGTACTATCTAGCGGCAGAATCCAGGGCACGCGTTTCGTCCCATCTGGGTCTTATCAGCTGAATGTAATTGCCTCCCAATCGGTGATGTTGTTCCCAGTAAATCTAGAACTCAGGACCAATCGCTTCAAACACCAGATTGTTATCCACTAGGTCATTGAGTCATTCTAACGACTCCTTGTGCGATGAGTACAGTTCTTATGTTATTGCTTGTAATTCCATGTCGTTGATTGGACCGAATTGATCGTTGTTCTGGCTAAATTATTTTATTTTACATTCATTGAGAAATATTCAAAATTCCAGCATAATGAGTATTGTTTACTTAATGCTCAAATTTTTTTAAAAAACACTGTAATCCCAACTTGGTTCAGATAGTCTGTTAGTTTGACTTTGTAGTATTGATATCCACTATAACTCACTAGTAAGGTTAAGTTTCATTTATTCAGGTTTAGATAACCAATCATTAGTGCTGAGCAGTATAAAGGTGTGTGGTTTGATCTTATTCAAACTTTAAGATGTGTTTCTAGGATTTTCATCTGCTGTCTTCTCTTCTGTTAGTTTTTCCATCTATTGGTTTTCCAGTGTATATTTAGCATAGTCTCGGTAGCTGAAGACACTGACGAAATGGGGCATCTTCATAAACCTGGCTGAAAAATTGAGAATGTTTAAAATGTGTTTCGTTCCTGTTGTCTAAGAACTGGCCTGAATCAAAACCCTTTCTGGCAGTAGATTATGAAATGACTAAGCATGCTAAGCGACTCACGTATTCAGCGAGTCTCATAATCTTCGGTGCATTTGCAGCCGATGAAATCTAGACACATAAAATACCTGATCGGTTTTGTTTAATGCTAATGGATATCTGAATATCAGATAAAAGGCGGTTGTACTGCATCATTTCTAGTTTAGTGGTCATAAGACTTAATCGTTGAAGGCGAACAATTTGTGAGGATCACACGTGTTCCTTCATTATTGACATCATAGGATTGCTGATTGATAACTGGTAAGGAATACAGAGGTTAGATTTTGAGCATTAAATGGAATAAGTTTGTGCACCTTTATCGACTAATGTGGTTGGTGTGTGCTTGTCTAGCGAGTCCGAGTACGATGGAAATACAATGCCCTTCGCTAACAATAGAGAGTGTAGTGGTTGAGTGTGTTGACCGACCACTTGACTTACCTGGGAAGTGGGATCAGCCCTGGTGGCTCAGTGACCAATGAAATCTCTGTACGAATACAAAAGGCCCGGTCGACTTTTGCTAATTTGTTCCACCTATGGCGCTGCCGTGATATCCGATTGTCTATTAAGGGTGGCGTGTACTGCACAGCAGTCTGCTCTGTTCTGCTGTATGGCTGTGAAACACGACCATTGAAAGTGGAAGTTATGAGAAGGCTTCAAGTGTTTGACCACGTTGCCTTCGTAGTATAGGCCGTATTTCGTGGTGTCACCACGTGAGTAATGCAGAAGTCAGGTGTAGAGGCTTAGGGAGAATAGGTAGAGGTAGAGGTAAGTCAGTTGACGAGGTTGTGAACCTTCATCGACTGAGATGGTTGTCTGGGACATGTGTTACGTACACCTAGTCTCCGTCTGCCTCATCACACAATGTTGGCCGAAGTAGGTTCAGGCTTTAAAAAGACCCGAGGTGGCGAGAGCGAAGCATGGCATGAATGTATGAAGTGTTTGAGTGTTGGTTTGAGTCATGGTGGGGGATTCCGACTAGGTGGTTGGTGTTGGTGGGAGAAGAGGAACCAGTTGTTGGAGACTGATTGTAGGTGATGACATGGCTGAGAACGGATGTCAGTGGCGCAGATGTATGCACACATTATCCTCATCTTAACACTATACGGAATCTCACTATTTTCTCATTCTTCCTTTCTCTCTCTGAGTATTTAATATTTCTTTTGACTGAGTTTTCTTTTCTTCGTCTTCCAGTTAACTTTCTTTTTGGTTTATGTGATGATATGAGGTGTGTCAGGTGAGAGGGTTAAGCAGTAATGCCTGATAGTATGTTAGTTTGGATAGATGAACAGAGATCCTCAGAGTAGTCAATTCAATCCATGACGTTTTGTAACTGTTGTTCTGAAACGAAAAACAATGTCTGACTTCCTATACAGCTGATGTAGTCGTGTTTAAATTGTATCTACTTGAAAGGCATCTATAGAAATTATTACTTTTCTTTATGTTTATGAAAAGAGTTGAATTTTCTCTTCTTCATTTAGTAGTTGGAGTTCAAATTGTGTTACTTTAAAGCATTAATATATTTACAATAACTTTTTATTCTTTAGTTCCTAATGGATCACTTGATTTCAGTTCAAGTCCTTACAAAACAGTCAAAGAGAATAGTGCTTACAAAAACAATAAAAAGCATAGTACTGTTGGCAATACCAGTATAAACCATCACCAACGGACAACTAATGAAACTAAACGATCTATAAGTGATAAGCAAAGAATGTTGATAACCGATGCCAAACTTCCAAAAAATTCCAGTCTTTCCAACATAACAAATGATCTTTCACATAATTCTAATCCTTCTTATACAAATCAGTTGCCTCAAAAGGCTAGACGATCATTATTAGATTGGGATAGTTTTATAAATTTATCCAAAAAACCACGAAATCTATCCTTAAAAACTGATAATTCTCTTCGTCGATTGCCTTCAGAAACAATACGCCCTGCCTCTTTATCTCCAATCAAAACAAAACAAGAATCTAATCATAATTGGTTATCACCTTTGAGGACAAATGCGTCGATGAAGAAGACTTCAGTTGTATCAGTTAAGAGTAATCCAGAATCAGATAAAGCACATATATTGTGTGATAATCGTTCATCTTTTGAAGAACATGCTAAAAACCACACCTTCAAAAAGAAGAAGAATCGTCATCTCATGTATCCACTTCAGCTTGTGTTTCACCACCGATTGTAGTTAAAAATCCTACGGAGTCTAGGAAACGTAGGCTGTCTTTGTTATCTTCTGGTTGTAATAGCCTTGAAATACCTTCTTCTGATGACGTTGATTCAGACTCTCGGAAACAGAACCATGAAAAAAATCACATTCATATTCATGAAGCTAAGAAAAGGAAATTATCCCCTTTAGTTCCTATCAACAAAAAGAAAAAGAAGAAAAGAAAGAAGTCTTCCACCCTTTCAGTGAATTCAGATCAATGTAATGACCTCCAATCACCCGGTACCCATTTCGATACTGATGTAAGTTATTTTGTGAATCATAGTGGGTTTTCCTTTTTTAGTGTGTATACTACTAGCCACTTTGACGGGAACTGGCTGGTTGCTGACTAGATCTTACCTTGGATACATAAGACCTGTATGGCGTTTACCAACCTGGGTCGTCTTTGGCGTCAACTGCCGGAATATCCTACTACTTATCAAATATTTCACTGCAGTCTTTTCTGTCCTGTTATACGGCTATAAGACATGACCGTTAGGAATATAAGTTATGAAGCGGTCACAAGTTTCTGGTCGCGAATTTCTTCGTAGCATAACTCTCAATATTGAGATCAGGCGAGGGATACTAGGTAAGATAGGCAAGCCGATCGACTGAGATGGTTTGGACATGTGTTGCACATGCTGAGCCACTGCCTACCTCGATGTATAATGTTGGGGCAAGTTGGAACAATGCTTAGGATGGCCAAACCAAGAGGTATTCAGTCCATGAAGTTCCTCACTCTTGGTCTCAACCGTGTGGAGAGACGAAGACAATAAGAATCAGTGGTTGAGGACTCTTGGTGGCATGGTCAGAAATCAGTTATAATGTCTCTAATGTATTCACTCTTTGACGTCTTCTAATCTTTATCTCCAAGTTGTTTATTCTTCTATACACCTTTGTCTGATATCAGCCGTTTTCCATCTACTTTCTCTTTAAATGATACTGTGAAGTGTTGCAAGTGGAGCCGACACGAGATTCCACTTTAATTTCATCTGTCTTCTTCATCGCCTAAACTCACAATTTTCCGTTTTTGATATGCATTCACAAACACGAACTACTTATTTCTACTTTACTCAGATGACTTCTACCTTTCATCAAGCAAAATATAGATCTATGTTAAAGACCTTCTAAAAGCTTATTGCCTAACGAGAAAAAAATGCGAAGCGTACTCACCAACCTTGGGCACATTCATGCACCAGAAAAACTTGAGTCACACGTATTATGTGGCTGGGATTGTGATACTACTTGGCCACCCAACCCTCGGTAGTTGGTGTAGGATTCGAACCCATGACCGCTGAGGAATCAAACCTTAGCGCATTACTCCTAATATATTTTAATTTAATGTCGTTTTTCAACTCAGTTAAAAAAAAACAATTGTAGATGATATGAAAATAACTGTTATACTTGAAGGCTATTCTTTCACTCAGTTGATGCACAATGAAACCATTCAAGTGTTTTACAACTACATTTTTATCTAGTGAAATATTTAGTAAGATTAGGACATGAAAGAGGAATTTTTTATTCGATGAAGAATTTGCATTCAGAGAACTTCGATTGTATATTGAAATGGCATTTATTTTCATTCACCTTTTTATCATCCTTTTTCACTCACTCTCTGATGTACAAGTTGGTTGTATCAATATGTGCTAGAGTACTCATTTGATAATAGGAGTTTAGTTAACACAAAGAAATGGTACTTTTACAATACTTGAACTAGAAGTGGTAAGTAATCTTGAAATTGTAAAATTAAAATTTTATTACTTGTTCAGTTGTCTGAAAATAATAGTGATAATAATAATAATAATAATGATAATAACAATAACAATAATAATAATAATAATAATAATAATAATGATAAAAAGAGAAGTGAGTATCTTTATTAAGTTGTTGACATCGATTACACAAAAATGATAATAGTTGAAAATCGCCAATAGGTAGGGGGTAGATCTTATTATTTTTTTACAGTTTCAATTTATTTACTATACTCTGGACACCACGTGTGTAACGCACAAGTCAGGCGTAGAGTTTTAGAAAGTCAGTTGATACGGTTGTGAACCTTCATCGACTGAGATGGTTGTCTGGGACATGTGTTACGTACACCTAGTCTCCGTCTGCCTCATCACACAATGTTGGCCGAAGTAGGTTCAGGCTTTAAAAAGACCCGAGGTGGCGAGAGCGAAGCATGGCATGAATGTATGAAGTGTTTGAGTGTTGGTTTGAGTTATGGTGGGGGATTCCGACTAGGTGGTTGGTGTTGGTGGGAGAAGAGGAACCAGTTGTTGGAGACTGATTGTAGGTGATGACATGGCTGAGAACGGATGTCAGTGGCGCAGATGTATGCACACATTATCCTCATCTTAACACTATACGGAATCTCACTATTTTCTCATTCTTCCTTTCTCTCTCTCTCTCTGAGTATTTAATATTTCTTTTGACTGAGTTTTCTTTTCTTCGTCTTCCAGTTAACTTTCTTTTTGGTTTATGTGATGATATGAGATGTGTCAGGTGAGAGGGTTACACAGCAATGCCTGGTAGTATTTTGAGTTGGATGGATCGACTATACGCTGGAGAAAGTTGTTAGGCTATAGGGCTAACTCGGTGCAAGTAAGAGTTTGTACAAATTTCTTTCAAACCCCTGGGATTCGAATTGTCCCGTTGGTATCCAATTACTTCTAATGCTTGTGAAAGGTAGATTTCGAAAGTTCAGTGAGTGTGACTTACTGAAAAAGCACTGTGTACACCAGTTACAGTGTATAGGCTAATGCAAATATCCTATTTTGACAACTGAAGACATGAGTAGCTTAATTGTAAGATATCTGATTCCTGGACTTAATGTGATACTGGTTAAAATATCTGTTTGTTTCAATAGTGGATTACTTTGAGGTAGCGGAAACATCTTGAATCTTGACTGCTAAGCAATATAGACTTGATAATCGTCTGCATTGAGTAGTACATGCAAAACTATTGTATTTCATTTAGTCTGTTAAGAACATCTTACATACAGGTAAACTGTTTTGTGACGTAACGTTTTTCATGTGCATGTATCTATTTCACCTAGTATGTGTGTGTGTTTTCACTTTTCTTTCTACTATTACTTCATATTTATAGAATGCAATACAAGTAAAAGAGGTGGCAGACCAGTCAATGTCTGAATTCTCTGACCTTCAAGCAGATGAAATTTCTTCTCACGGAAAGTCTGAACAATCACTACTAAGTGTAGAAAAAAGTGAACGAAATGAAAATGAAGTTGTTGTGTCCAAAGAAAATGATGAATCTCAGGAAACGTTTCTGTCAACCAGGAGTCCATCAACACCAGCTTGGCTTAAAGCCATTCACGGACCATCACTAAGGGAAAGAAAGTCGCCGGAGTCTGTAAAGGTATTTATTTACTACCACTGTTTCTGAATTACTGGATGCACGTGCACTCTCATCCCTCAAGGTCCCGAGCACAATGAAGGAGGGAAGCAACTAAAATTTAGACTGACAAATAGTCTACACAATGACTGGGAATTAGTGGTTGGGTAGCAAAGATTAAAGGGATGAAAAAGGTAGCATCGATGGGTTGCAGTAGGCAGTTATTTAGACTAACCAAGGAAATTGGTGCAACAAAGTCAGTTAGTTAGTGAGACTGTTGCGAAGAAAGATGCGTCTGGGATTCAGCCTCACTGTAGACAGCTGGAGCGGTGCATGAAACACCTCAATAAACAGTTCCGTTGACCTGCAGCCACTATCCTGTCGGATCCTCAGTAGAGCTTTCTGAATTTGAGGAAGCTGTAAGTAATTTGTAAGGAGGAAACGCAGCAGGAGGTAACTGACGACAGAAGTCAGCAATTGTAGTTCCGATTAACTGAAGCATAACTGGTGTATAGGAGCTAGACATGATCCTCTTTTACTGGTCTGATCAATGGTTATCCCAGTCTTTAAGAAAAGTGAGAGGTCCCTTTGTGATAACCGCAGCGGAATCAACCTGACGAATATAGTATGTGAGATTTTAGGTTTTATAGGTATCAGATATTTAAGTGAAGCTGGGAACAGCAAACCTGAGGAAACCAGATATTTAGGCTCCGTCAAGCTCTGTAACAGAAGTGTACTTACCTCCACCTAAGGGTGTCGCTGTCCTCAAAAACCCGTGGGTGTATCAGTACCTACGGTTGGTTATTAGCTGAGTTGTGTATAGTTCAGACGGTGTCGTCTAGATTGCCTACTCTCTCCATCCTTATTCAAATTTATCATACATCTACTTATGGAGATCCCCCTCTCTCATTGTGTAATCTTGTAGGGATTTGATCACAGAAGAATCCTTAGTGATTCCAGTGTACTCAGATAACACGGTCATATTGGATGACGACTGTGATAAGACCAATGGTTCTTTAGATACATAGAGCGGTAATTTGAGAATGTTTTGAATATGTTTCTCACTTCATAAATGAAAATTATTGCTCCACGACTAGTATTTAGTACTGGCTGGCGCCTTAACAACAGAGAGTCAAGGGTTTATGCGCATTGACCACCTCACTCACTTAGGAATTTGGACCAGCCCTTATGAATCAATCCCTGACAGCATCAACACGTAGATACAGAAGTTTCTAGTCTAATTGTTGACCTATTGTATTATGAAATAATCATTGTGGCAACTTGAACCGTTACCCAGTAATGCCTGGTCCTAGGTTGATCTGGATAGATGGATGGATGAAATAATCATACTATTGTATACGCCAAATTAAAGTAGCGTTGAATGTTGTTGTTTTCATCGTATTTTTAACATTATATTTCAAAGCAATTCACCGTTTTTTTATGTAAAAAAATATTTGTTCAGGAGGATGTAATCCCCATACAAAATCGAAATGGTCGGATTAATCCTACTATTTTTCACTGTTTATTCTGTGCACATCCATTTTCTGGAAAAAGATATCGGTTAAAGCATATGGTTTCTTGTCGGTTGGCGCCTAAACATGTGAGTACATCGTAAATGTTATTGCTTCTCACTTACTTACTTGCTTGTGAAAGGAGCTATAGCTTATTGGTCTAGGCAGTTGGTTTTTCACCTGACTAGTCGTATATTCGAATGAATTTTCATCCACCCCTACCCCCTAGTTATCGAGATCTGAGCAGTTATCTGGGTATCATTAACCCTCACACAATATGTGAGTGGTTTTATCATTGAGGTTATTCTATGCATGGCGTTGTTTGTATTGTAGTCAGGCAGATAGATCAACGACGCTTCCACATTGCAGTATTTCACAACAGCATACATACAAATAAGAAGCTGATATCAAAGGAAATACAAAGAATATAATCAACAAAAGAGGATAAATAAATAAAGAATAATAAACCGTTTAGTTTTCATATAATAAAAAGTGCAAATATACATCTACACTGATTTTCACATCAATTTTTAGCCATTTCACTCAGGTTCTTCAGTCAGGTTAGTCTACACTGTTTTCAAATCAAAAGACAACAACATCACAAGATGATTGGATGTTTGATTGTCTTGGTCACCTTTAGCTTTTTTAAAAAAAGCAATACTTTTAATTACATTTTCGAACTTGGTACGGAAGATCTATTAACTTCAACCTAGACGAAATCGAGGAGAAGACCAAAATGGATAGGAGGGGGTGCCCACTGTCTTCATTCTTATTCAATTTTATCGTAGATATTCTTATGGAGGTTTCCCTCGCGTCATTAGGTTACACAGACGTTGACCTAATCACAGGAGAATTTTCGTTAGATGGGATGTAGTTCTCACCACCCTAATGCAAATTGTTAATCCCGGATTCGTCTTCAGCGGTGCCACGGCTAACAGTAAAGAGTGAAGTGGTTGAGTGTGTCGACTACTTCAATTACGTGGGAAGTAGCATCAACCCTGGTGGCTCAGTGACCAATGAAATCTCTGTACGAATACAAAAGGCCCGGTCGACTTTTGCTAATTTGTTCCACCTATGGCGCTGCCGTGATATCCGATTGTCTATTAAGGGTGGCGTGTACTGCACAGCAGTCTGCTCTGTTCTGCTGTATGGCTGTGAAACATGACCATTGAAAGTGGAAGTTATGAGAAGGCTTCAAGTGTTTGACCACGTTGCCTTCGTAGTATAGGCCGTATTTCGTGTGTCACCACGTGAGTAATGCAGAAGTCAGGTGTAGAGGCTTAGGGAGAATAGGTAGAGGTAGAGGTAAGTCAGTTGACGAGGTTGTGAACCTTCATCGACTGAGATGGTTGTCTGGGACATGTGTTACGTACACCTAGTCTCCGTCTGCCTCATCACACAATGTTGGCCGAAGTAGGTTCAGACTTTAAAAAGACCCGAGGTGGCGAGAGCGAAGCATGGCATGAATGTATGAAGTGTTTGAGTGTTGGTTTGAGTCATGGTGGGGGATTCCGACTAGGTGGTTGGTGTTGGTGGGAGAAGAGGAACCAGTTGTTGGAGACTGATTGTAGGTGATGACATGGCTGAGAACGGATGTCAGTGGCGCAGATGTATGCACACATTATCCTCATCTTAACACTATACGGAATCTCACTATTTTCTCATTCTTCCTTTCTCTCTTTCTCTCTCTCTCTCTCTCTCTCTCTGAGTATTTTATATTTCTTTTGACTGAGTTTTCTTATCTTCATCTTTCACCTTACTATTTTTCTACTTGATGTACTGACATGAGCTGTGGCAACTCAGACCGTTACGCAGTAACGCCTGGTCCGATGTTGATATTGTTGATGATAATGATGGATAGGGGGTTTATTCCACCGAAAAGAATGGTCAAATAACCTAAAATCACCTATGACCTTGTCCAGAATTTGAAACATTGACATAGTAACAGTAAAATACCAACCAATCAGTGAATTACCTTGGAAATTGAAAGAAAATTAAACCACTGGTCATGCCATAAAATTGGTGCAAAATGACGATTTGAAATCTTTTAAAAACAGCAAACAATGTTTTACGTCAATCTGGAGTTTTCCAATAAATTATCCATTTTCAAGCGTACATTATATATATGTAGAGTATTATTCTCTAGAACAGCACGAACTGTTCATCTGTTTATTTCAATAAATTTTTATTCAAAGAAAAATGTTTTTGTTTTTTGTGATGTTTTTTTTCTTTCAAGTGGACAAAAGAGAAATTATATAAAGTCAGTCAAATGTGTGAATCTCCACCAATTCTACATGGAATTAGTACTAATTCAGGGAATACTACTGTTGATGAAGAAATATCAATTAGTAATGGAGTTGTTTGTCATGTAAATGAAAATCTTCAAAATGGACATTCAAATGTCAACGAAAAGTCTGAAAGTACTGATAGATCTCTTCAATTTTCTTATCTGGTTAGTGTGTGAACACTTTTATTTTCAATTTAACTTATCTCTGTGTCTTTTGTATATCTTATGTTGCGTAATGTTTTCCAAATTGATGAAGATATGAATTCTTCACTTGATCATTCTACTTTTAGTCAATAGGTTTCATTCAAATTCAACTCTGGGTACTTTGATTTTAACAGTCAAATAGTATCATATGCTCTCATACTTTTAGTATCGATCATTAGCCTAATTAACGCACAACAGCACACAATGGAGTCCCTATGCTTACTTTTACTCTCATCAAGCGAAGATACATTGATTAATTGGGTTTCCGAAGGTTTTCACCAACCGGGGTCATTTCGTCTCCCCGATTCCAGCGAATAAGTTTGTTGTTTACATTTCCTCTGTGCTTTAAAGTTTCTTTAGCGATTAGATTGATTTTTCTGGGTTAGGGTCGCTAGCCCCACGTCCAACCTTCCCTCTTTTTCTGGTTTCGGACCGGCTAGTAAACTAGTGAACCAGTAAACTACGCGAGGCTACAGAATAGGGTGAGCTGCAGTAATTCCCTGTGTAAATTGGTGATTACAGGACGGCAGCCTTGCTTTCTAGTCATAGGCTTTGATGTAAGTTAGGGAACGAGAAAAAGAAACAGTCAGTCATCTGAGTGCACATCCGTGCAGTAGGCGATCAGCCACACATATTATTTATTTGGACTAGTGTTATTACCTGGCCACCTAAGCTTCGTTAGGTGGAGTGGGATTCGAACCCTTGACTCGATAACTGATAGTCATCTCCCTAAGCCTTTGCTCCACTGATGTGAGCTAATCGATTGAACGGGTGTGAATATGAACTTGTGACAGTGTGAATCAAGTTTTCATTGCTAACTGGTATTCTCCCCACCCCTTCCCAGGGAATGTGAACTATTTGTCACACTTGTTGTCATTGAGCTGTTTTCTTTTCTTTCATAGAACAAAGAGAAGAAGAAGAAGAAGAAGAGGGAAAACCGAAATTTATTCATACTAGTGATCCGGAATTGAAACTAGTCACTCCCCCTCAATCTAGTCCCAGTTTAGTAGACAGTTCTAATTGTTCACTTGATGCGTCAAACACTGATAATAAACTGTGTGATGAAGCTTCAAACCCACAGAGAGTAGTTTATCCTCCAACAATCATTCCCCTAAGGTATGTCTAATATATTTTAGGTGTATTATTTTTCTATGTATTCATTTAAATCGAACTCATTGAACCGATTGTGAAGTATTTACTTAAAAGTTCTAAGTTGAAAAATATCTAGTTTCATCTGTAAATTTTGATAGGAAAGTCTTAAGCAATCCGCATCCTCAGTGTCTTCATCGACTCAATCCATAACAATATAATATTCCATATTAAGGCAGCTGCTTCAACACTACAGAGTACCACAAACCTTTATCAACCTCATCCATCAGCTATATGAGGATGCTACACGCTAAGTGATTGACAATGGAAAGTTCAGTGACGCCTTTGAAGTGAAGACAGGAGTAAGACAAGGCTGCCGCCTACTATCACCCACGATCTTCCTGATTGTAGTGGACTGGATCATGCAACCAACAGTGAGGAGCAAGAAGAGGGGGATACGCTAGACCAGAGAAAAGATCCTAGAAGATTTAGATTTCGCCGATGACTTGTATCTAATGTCACGCAAACTTGAAGATCTACAGGCGAAAACTAACAAGTTGACAGAAGAGACGAGGCAGGGAAGACGGGACTTCAAGTTAACGTAGAGAAGACAGAGGTGATGAAGATACCCAACCAACACCACCACCAACAACAACAAGCTTCAATCACCATTAACGGGAGGAACCTAAAGGAAGTAGTCTCTTTCACCTACATACGTAGACAGCATCGTTTCAACTACTGACGGCACAGATGAGGATGTCAAAACCAGGATCGGAAAAACAGCAAGAAGCGCCTTCATTAACCCGAAATCAGTGTGGCGATCTGCTGGACTCAGCATGAAGGGTGGACGAGATCCGGAATTTCAACACTAATATCAAGTAAGTCAGTGCTTCTGTGTGGTTAAGAGACTTGGCGCGTTACGAAAAGCATTTCCAACAAACTACAGGCATTCACAAAAGGTGCCGCCTACGCGCACTCGGTACTAAAGATCAGATAGCCAAAATAATAAGAATAACCAACAAGGAGCTCTGGCTGCCTGGCAACAAACCAACCAAGAACCTATTACACAACAGACATGCAGAAGAAAGTGGAGATGGATTAGATTGTAGATAGACTGAGAAGGCCGACTGGGGACATCTCGTGCCAGGCCAGGCTCTCGAGTGGAATCCAAAGGGGAAACGACTATTTTGGCGTCGGAGAGTGACATGGAAGAGATGGTGTGAGGAAGAAATGAAAGCTTGTGGGCAGTCTTGGATCCAGGTTGAAAAGACTGGAGAGAAGAGAGTGCGATGGAGTCGTATTACTGAAGCCTTATGTTCCACTAGGAACCCGAGGGAGAAATAATAACAATAAAATAATTCTATATTAAGCGTTATACTGGTCAGTGCTCTATTATTTCAATCAATTTAGTACGTCGATTGAATGTCGTTTAGCAGCCTTGGTGATTCCTATTCCCCTACCTTCAAGATTATGACTATGATTGATTATTTTGACCGCCTAGTGAATATACAAATTCGATTATCAGATCCTGATAAGTTATCGGATTTCTGAAGTACCATTTTCTTTTGTTTTGTGTTGAGTGTGTGTATGTATGCATCTTTTATCGTTCAGTTGACATCATTCAGTTACCTTGTGCACATCCTGGCAGTAGGTAATGAGTCATACCTAATGTGTGAAAAGGCCTCATGATTACTATCTGGTTGCCCAGACCTCTGTAGATGGACCTGTGACTCACCTCCTAAGCCAATGAACTACAATTCCATATATACTATGTTGTAGTCAATAGTGAATAATTATCGCTTAGTATATTTATTTATTATGCTTTCTTCTTATTTGTATAGTCCATTGAGAAAAGTATTTGGCAAAATTATAGACCTGCATACAGTGGACCTTATACTTGTGCATTTTGTGATCGAGTGATTCATAAGGGGTCAAATTTTGCTAGACATATAGCCACATGTAAGGCTAGACTGTCTATAAGTACAGTAAGTTATTGAAGTGTTTCATTTCTTCACTTTATTGCGAAATATATACAACATTAATAGCTTTTATTAATCTGTATTAACTTTGACGGTTGGGATATTCTCCCATCCAAAGTTCTACTTTGTTATACGGAAGTTGATGTTTAGTCAATTTCCGAATCATTCAGTGACATTTATGTCATGATTTGGTTCTAAATAAATCTGGAATGCTTTACTGTTGTAAGTCAAGTGGATAGCTTCAAACTGATTGGGATACTATTATTTATTGGTATGCTTGTAGTTCTCCGTTGTTTTACTGGATCGAATTGTTCGACCACATAAGAGCCCATATGCCAATAGAGGTCGAAAAATTCTCTCCAGTAAAACAACGGAGAAGTACAAGCATGTCAATAAATAGTAATAACTAATACCCGTTGTTCAAGATACGTGGCTATCGTGCCTAGGTGGCTTAGTGGACAGCGCCTTGGCGTTTGGAGTGGTGCATACGAGGTTCGGGTTTCACTGGGAACAACATCACTCCTCACTGGGGTGCAGGCACGTCCGGCTGACAAGTTCCAAAAAGAACGAAGCGCGCGTGTTGAATATCCTCTGCTAGCCACAGTCAAGTAAGTTGTCGGTTGAGATGCATCTATACTTTGTCTTCCTTTAGATCTCGAAGAATAGGCAGCATGATATTAGTTCGAATAGAAACTGTCACTAAAACCACCTACACATTCTTGAAGTGGGCAATAAGGGCTAACGATACCATATGGCGGCCCGAACTTCGGTAGCTGGGGCGTTGCTTGAAGTCGCGCTTATACCTGTGATCCACAGTTCCATATGGTATTAGTTAGTATTCAGTGGTTGGCTATTTTATCTGATTGTGAAATCTTACTTGAGGAAGGAGTTATTGTACAGATCACTTAGTGATCATGGATTTAGGTGGCTCAGATAGACTTTGAGGGTAGTGGATCTTTTCTATGCTTCTGTAAGCGTTTCAAGAAGGCAAAAGATGGACCATATGTATCACTACCGTCGATATTGGTATCCCTCTTCTTAAAATGGTAATTAAAAGCATTGGATGTTTTCGTGTTGGAGGTTGCTCTAAAGGTAGGTAATGTTTTTGTGTTATATTTTATAGTGCTTTTCATTTTATACGGTAGTTATTTTGTAATTATTATCAAGTACGACATTTTTGTCGTTATTCTCCTACAGGATTATTTTTTATACGCCTATTACCGTTAAGTTGTCTTATTTCATCTTGTGTTGTACAATTTTTACAGGGTGATACTCCAAGCGCAAAGTCCTCAGGGTATGAAGATAAGCGTAAATTTCATTACTCGTTCAAATCCTTCCCTAAGGTGACGTCAAAGTCAGGTAATCTAAAAAGGCAACTACCCAGGAGTCAGGGATTAAATTCTTCAGTCAGTAAGGTATGCATTCTTAGAAGAATCAGTTTTAATTGCCTGCTGTGATATGCCTGAATCTTTATATTTAGCGGGAAACTTTATCATGGGTGTAGAGTTTCCACCACTTGGTTTTGTATAGTTTATATCTGAGAGGTATAAAAAAAGGCGATAACATTCTTGTGTCTGAGTATGTTTCACATACGTTTTGCACCTGTCAAATGTAAGATGATGCTCCAGAATCAGTCTGCAATTACTCTCAGTCTAAGAATAGGCAGTGAAGTGGTGGAATGCGTTGACCACTTCACTTCCTTGGACAGTTGCATCAGCTTGATAGAGTTGGTAGCTGACAAAATCTCAGCTCGGCTACCGAAGGCCTGTCGTCTGTGGCGGAAAGTGACGAGATATCTGAATGTCTATTAAATGACTAGCTTACTGCGCTGCAGTCTGTCTTGTCCTGTTACAAGTTGTTTTGTTATCTCAGATGTCTTTGTAGCATTGCTCGCATTTAGTGGTATCACAGTGTGAGCAATATTGAAGTTGGATACTAGACAAAGAAGGGAAGGTGATCGATAAGGCGTTGAACCATCACTGACTAATATAACTTGGATATATTCTGTGTATGCCGAGTCACCGCCTCTCTCGACGTCCAGTGCTGGGGAAAGCTGGAATAACTTCAGGGTGACCAAACCATGATATGTCACTAATGCGTGAAGTCTCTAACTGCTAGTCTGAGCCGTCTAGGGGTTGTACACTACCCGGCTGGGGTCCCCAAGGTGATAGGAACTAGCGCTAGAGGACTCTTGGTGCCTTAGCTGCAAATCCGTCGTATTGGCGTAGATGTGTTCACTTTTTAATTTCTTCTAAGGCTTGAATGCTTTGACTAAGTCAAATTTTTAATTTCCTCTCCTCACATACACATTTGTTCGCTTTCATACAAGTTTCTCTTACCCAGTTGTCTATACTCATGCTAGTGGAAGTACAATTTTTTTTTATAGCTGTTATGAATGTATATTACACATACTTCATCATTATCCGTCATTATTATTTTATTTGACCTAACTCTGTGGATGTTTAACATTTCAAGTGTGATAATTCTTTCTCATGGACAAATAACGGTTGAAATGAAAACCGTGTTACATTTTCTTCACTTTACTGACTATACTACTTACAAGTAGTTCAACTGTTTAGCATAATGTTCTCTCCTTTTTCGATTATTGGTCATTTGCGTTTTTGCGATTCTCTAAGTAGTTGTTACGATGAGTTGATTTTCAAACTTATTGCATTTAACACTTTTTATTTCCACGCATTGTACAACTGAGGTTCGCATTTCTATCATTGTTGTATCATTTCGAATGTATTGATGTATCGATCACCAAGGAGATTGTGACTATTTATTGATGTCATCATCAACAACAACATCATGGGACCAGGCATTACTACATAAAGGTCCAAATTGCCGCGCATTACATCAGCACAACGAAAAGCAAAAGAATAAGATTACAGATGAAGAGCGGGAGAAGCACCCGTCATACGTAGTAGTCAAAGAGAGAAAGGAGGAATAAGAAAACACAGAATTTAGTATGACGATTACGATGAGGACAATGTGTAGGGATACATCTGTGCCATTGAAATCAATTCTTAGTTTTGTCACCCAGTGTTTCCAAGCCGCTAGTTTTTGTGGTTTCGTGAACCCCCAACCAGCTATTTGACATCTCCCTACATGGGTGAGACCAACAGTCACAGACTTCCAGGTGGCACCTAGGCGACCACACTATTCTCCAGTGGAAATCTCCTTCAGCTAACATTTTATGACGAGGTAGACGATGACTTGGCATATGCTGAATATGCTTCAGTCTCCGCTTATCCTTCACTTTTTTCAAACTGCAGTTAGTGGCTGTATAAACAGAGATTACAAAGGGATAGTGGTATGATACAATTGATATGACGCAGGAATGGAAGTGTTTTTTTGGCATAGAAACAACCTTCAGTTGCATTTAATCAGGTATATGTATTACGACTCCTCGATTTTCAGAGTTTAGTGCATTTTATGAAGACTAAGCGTGTTTGTTTAATATTCAGCAACTTTGTACTATTTGTAAATAAGTTGAATACACACTATCATGATTGAGATGTTCTTTTTTATTTCGTGTTAAGCTTAGGAATATCTTTTCTTTTTCATGGATTTCTTGTTATAACACCCCGAAACCGGTGTATATCATTGATATCTATACGAATACTTATTGGTATCATTAATAAATACGATAATGAACATCAGGCTCGTTTATTTGTGATACCTTGTAGTGCTATGCGGAAACTAATCAATCATTCGTTTTATTTACAACATATACTTCATACAGCATTAGCACCCTCATATGTGCCATATAAAACAATATTACAATATTAAGAAGACGTGAAAATGATATAAAAGGGTGGATCTGATAAAATGATCTTCAATACTACTGGTTGCCCTTCGGGCATATGACACACTTCTCAGCTGCCCACACAGTAGAAGGGTATTTCTGCTTGCCGTACCCAAAAGAGAAGAAGATTTGTGTGACCTCAGAGCCCATCCAAAATCTACTTGGTGCCTGTCACACAACCTTTTTGAAGATTGTTGGTGTGAGTTGTGATCGTTTTTAACACCGCAGTGATAAAACCTGCACCACCAACACGGAAAATCCGTGGGCAGATGGAGTATGTTATTTTTGGGGTCGACCTTTTCTAATCCCTTCTCCTTCCCATTGGGAAGGCAGGGTCAGGGTGGCACTACTGGTGATCCAAGGGAAACATCTTACTGCTGTCACACCCGATCCAGCTGACAGCAGCACGACTTTGTGCTTGAGACCTCATCATAATGTAGTGATTTACACTACAACAGTAGCTGATTTTCGTCTGATCGCTATCCAGCAGACGTTTCTGGAATGATAGGGCCTCGATAGAACAAGCGTTTCACCAGCATAGCTCGTCCAAACCCGACCACCAATCACGAAAGACTTAAACCTAGGACCAATCACTTTAGACATCAGGTTGTTATCCACCAGGCCGTTGAGTCACAATAGCCACTCCTTGTATGGCGGATATAGTATAGTCTTCGATGTTATAGCTTATTGGGAAAAACATCACTCCGTGGGATGGAAGATACATCCAGTTGGAGAGTCCTAGATAGGACAAAATGCGCATGCTGGATTCCATTGCTTACTACTATCCATCATTAACATTCCTATTCTGGTGGAAAAAAATCGAATCCAAAGACCAAGGTGACTGAATCACGCAATCTATTTCTGCTGTTTGCAGTATTAAACTGAAAAATCCCTCTAAAGTGTTGGCAGGATAGTAGTATTTAGTGCCTGCATTCGCCTTTGGTGATAACCTGTTAAGCAGTTTCTGTACCCGTGTTATTATTGTATGAGTGAGTAGTGGCACAGATGTAACTGATGAAATTTCGATTTTTCCTAATTTATTTTATTGCTACTTTGTCAGATGGACGGAAATTTTCATTCCCCTGTATTCTCTGATGATAAAAATATCGCTGATACTCCGACCTTAAAGAAAACTGATGATATAGAGACACCTAGTTTAACTACTAATGAATCTCAACATGAATGTTCCGGTTGTCACCAGGTATATCAGCTCAGAAGCTCACTGTTACGGCATAAACGTAATCATAAGGTAATTCATTTAATTAAAGTGTGAATCTATGCATTTTGTGTAATTTATTGTTTCGATATTGGATACTGTTGAAAAACATGCGTATTAATAACTATTATTTCTTTGGTGGTCGTGTAAAGCTTACACCGCCTATGCTCGCTGTCATACACAGAACAACATCTATTACCCAGTTAATAGTTTCATCAGGCTAAATAGGGCTATGTTGGGGCATTCACTATAGAAAACGTCTGCTCAGACGTAAGGTTTTACCACATTTCCCCTACCTCTGGTCCGATATTTTTTGCCCTTACATTTCGCCCCTTTTTTTTTGGTATATTTGGTATATTTACGAGTGCCTCGACGTTTGGCCCCATGTGTACATCTAGCCCCACATGTGATTCATTGTCTCTATGTTCCCCTATTTGGCACGACTAAATTGTTAACTAGGTTATATGCTATTGCCTTGAGAGAAAATCTCCCTTATTGCATAGAAGGGACATCCGAAAGCGTATTGACTATGATTATCATTATTACTGTATGTAAGCAGTTACTTATATAATGTACAGAATTGTTCTATATATCCAGAAGTGTAACAATGCATCTTTCCGACTAATAAATCAATTATGTTTCTGTTTTAACTGTATACGTCATAGTCCACTAAAGATCGAATGCATTGCGCCACAGTTTGTTCTGTTCTACTGTGGGAACCAGATATGACCCCCCCTGATTGGTCTGAATTACTAGTTGTCCAAGTCTTCAGGAAAAGGAGAAATCCTGTTGTTATTACCAAAGGTGGTTCAGTATGGCAGCTATAGCGTCTAGGCTCAGAGTTTTTTGGAATATCTATGATGCGTCTTTCAACGCACAAACGTAAATAATGGTTCGGGGATTGGTATGCGTTTGTGCCTTGTCAAGCATTGGGCAGTTAAGTGATTCAACACGTTGACCGCTTCACCTACCTGAGAAGTTGAATCCTCTCTAGTAGGTCAATATGGCTGATTGAATCTCAGCATAGATACAAAGGACTCACTTGATGTTTGCCAATTTATGCTATCTATGGTACTGGGGAGAAATCCGATTACTTGCTATGTATCCTGTGTACAGTGCAGCAAGTTGCTCTGTTCCACTCAGTGGCTATGAAACACAACCATTAAAGTTAGAGAACGTGAGAGAAGGTCTGAGGTGTTCAACGACTGTCGCCTTCGTAGCATAGGCTGCTGTCATGGTACCATTATGAGGTTATGAATCTTCATGAACTCAGATAGTTGGGATATACATTTCGTATACCTGGTCACCCTATGCCTCGTTGCAAAAATTTCGCTGTATTAGTTTTAGATTGACTAGTTTCTTCTTTATCTTTCATCTTTCCCGCTCGATTTGTGGCTATGAGGTGTAGTGACTTACTCCGTTACACAGTAATGCCAGGTTCTATGTCGATTTGCCCCGCATGTTTTCATGCTATAGTTGTCTGTAAAGAGTTTGAGTTACAATGTATTCATCTAATACATTCAAACCAGTGCATGTAAGAATCTTCTTTATCAGTGATCGTCTTGAAGGAAACGAGAATACGGAGACGAAGGAAGGAATATTTATTATTAACCTGTAATAGTCGTTAAATATGGTACACCTTGCACTAAGACAGTAATTTGCAAAATGTGCTTCATTTACTCTTCTGCTTCTATCTTGATTTGCTTTTAATACGCCCGCGTCGTCTCTTGCGTTTCTCTGGTCAGAATCCTTACCCATTACTGGTAATTCTCTATGATTTCTGCCGCTCTCTCAACATGTACTACTTATATTCATTCTTATCAGCAACCCTCACTACAGTCTTATTTATTTTTTCCCCAAGACCTCTTACAGATGATACAGGAGGGAAACATTGTCTGTTATAAACAATAAACCACCCTTGTTGAACTTTAATTACTATATGGAAGATGGGAGCTTAGTGATCTCATTGATGTGGAACTCCTTGACCCATCTGTTGACAGTCAACTGCCTAGACTGGTGAACCCTAACTTACACAATTTGATTATTATTTTATCGTGTATAGAATGATTCTAAAGGCTCACGGTAACTATCATCGAAAGGTAGTTTTTCATAAAATCGAGAAAATTAAATGATTATTTCAATGGTTGCTTACGTGGTGCTCAGATACACTCGATGTATACTCTGATGCTACTTTTCTCTCTTTCTACGCCATTCCCTCGCGCCCTCCCTCTCACATACACACACACACACATTGGTAGTAATTAACGCATTCATCAAATTTTGGTTTATACTTATTCTTGTTGAGATATGATACTATATATAGTAAAATGATTTTCTTGTTGTTTTCCTTTACAATTTCTGTGCAATAGGAGTGTAATAAATCACGTGGATCCAATACAGAAGATTCACCGCTTACAGTTTCTGATGTATTTCTAAGTCTTGATGATTCAAAAAGTATTTCATCCTGTGATGAGAGTTCCTACAGAAGTCATTTACAAACACCTATAACTTCAGTGTATGATATGACTACAGATCCTGATGATATATTCGAGGTATGTCTTTGACTAGTTTCTTTTAAAAAAAACAACTTAATTACCCTTTCTTTTTGTCAAAAGGATTCTTCCATTGATTGGTCTATTGAAGAGAAAGAGAGAGAGAGAGAGCTCCCTCGGCGTTGTGCAGATAGATAAGCCTTACTGACGAGTGCTAAAAAGCACGTGACCTAAGTTGGACAAGGTTTTACTGCCAATTGCCGTCAATCAACTAATAGAGTTTTCTTCCATATTCCTTTATTTTTTGCATTTGTAAGACGTTCTTTTTCGAAACGTTTAGACGTGGTGTAATGCGTTTTTAATATTCCAGGATTTGATAATTCCCCCAGCAACAACAAGAATGAAAATGTCAGAAAGTCAACATGATGAACAAGATTATTCTGCTCACGAACACTCAAGTATATCGCTGGAATGCAGTAAAAATGTATCAGTTCCTACACCCAAGAAATCACTTGTACAACATACAAAAACTAATAACAATAAAGTAAGGTTTTCTATGGATTGTCTTATTTTGTGACAACACACACACACACTGACTGCACTGTGTGTGTGTGTGTTACGTATTTCACATTTATTTATTTGCTTGTACTAATCGAAATATTCACATTTGAATTACTGTTATATTCGTTTCAGTTAAGTCGTTCCCCAGCAGAATTATCAAAGACCAGGGCTAGGCATAGTTCCTCTCCAAAAACAGCGAGGAAATACTCAGTTTCTATTGGTTCAGAAAATGCAGGTGAACTGTCAAGTGCACAAGTCAGTGAAACCGAGGGAGAAGACGATAAAGAAGTAAGCACCTCCATTCATATTATGCTCACGCTTTTTATCGTATACGGTGATTATTTAAAGCTATAAAAGGAATGCCTGGATGTAGACAGACACGATCTTACACTACTTTGTGTATAGATTGAAGTTGTTATACCTCATACCAAAGCATCAAGCGAGAATGCACCAAAATGGCAGATAAGGAGATAATAAAAAAGCAGTCAAACGTTCACCAATGAGGTCGATTCTCAGAGTATGCAATCACCCATCCTGGTTGTCATATGGAACGCAACTAAGAAGTTTACCTTCCTCTATATTGTGGAAACCAACAATTAAAGACTTCGAGGACTCGTGCCACGACACACGACCTATTCTACGAAGGTAACGGCTGTCGGACACCAAAAACCTTTTTACATCCGCCTTTAATGGTCATATTTGTTTAGCAACCGTATTGTAGAACAGAGAAATTTGCTACACAGTGCACACGATGCTCACTAGGCAATCGAATATCTTGTCAGTGCTATAGATGGCATATGTTGGCGAAATCCAAATTAACCCTTGGTATCTGTGGCGAAATTTCGTTGGTCACTGATCCACAGGAGCTGATTTGACTTCCCAAGTGAATGAAGTGATTGACGACTTCACTCTTTATTGTTAGGAGAGGAGACCTGTTATAGAGCAATGGTTTGCATTTTCCTGGTGGAAAACACATAAACATTCTTGAATTATCGATTATGTTTTCCAGAAAAATTTTCACCTAGGCACTTTGCTTTTCAAGCTGATTTTTCAGGTGATTATCACAAGAGGATTTTCCTCTTTTCCTGAAGTGTGGGATGTTTGTGGATTAAGGCCAATCAGAAGAGATCACATCTGACTCCCATACAATAGTTTAAGCTTCAGTTAACCTGGTTAATAATTGTCGACCACTATCCTTAAATACCTCCGGAACTTGTCCGTGTCGTGTTGCCTTTACTTGTTTTAGGCTATTTACAGCTCTCTCTACTTCTGCAACTGTTGGAGTCCGTATCTCAACGCTCCATTGAGGTTCCAACTAGATAGCGGGGGACGGGATACTAGCCGGAGGCCAGTGAAACTGATTGTCAAAGTGTCTCGCTCATCGTTCCACTCGTCTACCCTGAGAGTGGGTCCCAGCTCCATCCTTCTCCGTCATAATCTGACTAACCAATTAACGTTGTTGCGTCGGTTTCTTTACCACTTTAAATAACTGTCTACTGTTACTTATCGTTTCTGTCTTTTCTATCTTTTTAGTCTTCGTCATTTGTGCTCGCGGTCATTGTGTAGACTATTTATCAGTCTAAATTATAGTTGTTTCCGTTCGTTATCGTGCTCCTAGCCTACAGGACTGCGTTCGCGTGCATTTATTACTTCGAAAGAAGCTGTTGAGACCCCCTGGCTCTTTTTAACTGCTTTCTAAGAGTCATCTCTGGTCTTTGACTCTGTTGGTACAGCAGACTTGAGATGATGTAGACCGTCTGTATCTACAGTTTTATTAGGTTCGTTGGATGCCCAGTCAGACATTTTTGCTCCCTTTGTATCCGAAGTTCATACTAATCAGAAATAGAGGATGCTCTGTGCACGATTATGGCAGGTGATCACCATTCGTTTGGCTGTGATTCCGAAAGTTGCCACCTAATTGATTTTCTACTTGGCTTACCTTTTATACTTTTGCATTAAGGTTACCTGCAACCGCGGTGCAGCTGTGTTTAATGTGGTAAAACTGATTGATCAAATAATCTTTTTTTACATACTTTCACTGTCCATTCTCATATTTACTGTCTCCTTTGAGAATATTTCTTTTCGATGACATCACTTTAACCTATTAAGGTGCACATTTCGTCCTACTTGGGACTCGTCAGCTGGACCTACCTGCACCTCATTGGATGTTGTCCCCGCTGAGACTCGGACTCAGTACTCATCGTTTTAAATGCCAGAACGTTATCCAATAGGCCACTGGGGCATGATAGCCACCTCTTGTACAACAGGTATCAGTTAGTGTTATGATAAGTATAATTCACCATTGCTCCACACAGGAGCCCTTAGGCAATTCGGCACTGTTTGCAATTGGAAACTATAAGTACCAAACCATATAGTACTAATAATAATGATAGAGGTATGGAAAATAAAAGCGATAACAAACAGTAAATCTAACCTTTACACTGGTAAATTGTGTTGCATATCTAATCAATACTAAAGTCTTGTTCAAAATCCTTTTTTTTCTTTTTTTTTTGTAAAACTAGTATAAGAGGCGAATTAATAAGTCGATTTCTCCACCATCAAATGATGAACTGAGAACAATAGATGACGAGAATACTACACCACTTGCGTACAAATGTTATACATGCTCAGCGACTTATCGTCATCGACAATCTGTTTTACGTCACAAGCGTAAAACGAATCATAGGGTGAGCACTGGTTAGTTTGTTTGTATGGAGTGTTGATATTTTGTTATTGTATACTGATAGTGTTGTAAAAAGAAACAGACGACTATATATGTCAAGTTGTTATTCATCGAAGACTGACATCAGTTGGAGGAACAAAGGAAACCTGGGAGCACTGGACAGCTGTTTCGTCCTAGCATGGGACTCCTCAGTAGTGCGCACCCACGACCCCACCAGCAGGGATCGAACCCGCGACCTTCAGGTTCCGCGGCCAGCGCGTTACCATTGAGCCACTGGGTCAGAATCCAATGCTCCATATTTCCAACTTCTGTTAGCTCACGATATAGCGCAAACCGCCACCCAATGTCATCATTGAGTATTTGTCCTGTGCGCACTGCTGAGGAGTCCCATACTAGGACGAAACAGCTCTCCAGTGCTCTCAGGTTTCCTTTGTTCCTCCAACTGATGTCAGTCTTCGATGAATAGCAACTTGAAATATTTCCAAATCTCCACAACCCCCTCAAAAAAAGACTATATATGTGAAACTCATTTAAACTGTCAAATGATTTATATTGTGGGAGTTTAGTGTAGACAATGTGTGTGTGTGTGTGTTTGTGTCTGTGTTAATGATGGTATTGTTGAATGTTATATGAGGTTTTGTCTCTCTGCATACTTTACTGCGCCATTCTAAATGGAAATTAAGTGGAATACACTTATTGATACTGCTATATATTTGTGTTTCCGCTCAGTTTTCACTCATACTAATAAAGGAACTATTTCTGTATTACTTTTTCTGGGTTTTTGTTTTAGAAAGATGAATACCGGATGACGGTGAACGAACACTCCTTATTCAATAGATAACGCATTATCAGTTGTATTCAGTATGAATTCATTAGTTTACCGCCACCTTAAGTGTGTTTCTTTCGATAAATGCCAGTGGGGGATAGGATGCACTCCTCTGGTCAGCTAAGTTTTTCTGTTTTAGACGATTAGGATTTGGTTGAACGAATTTTTTTAATGAGAAAATTAGGTTTGTAAAGGTGGATTGCAATACGATTGGTATGAGATGAATAATTCTTAATACTTTTCTAGTATCCACTTGATGTCCACTGTCAACTAAGTGTGCAAGTGTGGAGTTGTTTATTTTCCGAATCTGTCTGTCACTCAGGCATGGTGAGTAGTGCTCAGAAATTCAATTATGGATCTGCTTCACTGTTACGCCCATTGCAACTAGCTGCGAAGGAGCAGTTTAACTGATAAATATGGAGATGATAGAATTAAGCATTCCGTCCTTATTTCTTGCATCTCGAATCGTGTGGTTGTAGAAGATGGCACATAACTTACCGACTGGGAATATCCCTTCACAGGAATTTGCGTTGTCACTGTTTAATTCCAGCTTCTAGGACATTTGCTTCTTAGGAACTGTTGGCATTTTTGTCTTAACCTTGGTAACATTCATATGCTTAGTTACAAACTTGGATGGATAGCCATTTCTACTAAGTAGGTGACAAACCCTTCCTCTTTAGCACTATCAGAGCAAATATCTGTGGCATTCTATGCTAGATATTTCATTAGTTTCTTGTATTGGAGAGGTACGGCGCTAAAGAAGTACATGTATTGACCCGTTGATGTTGGCTTTACATATATATATATATATATATATATATATGCTTTGTCACAGAGTTCCATGTAACCTTCATATCAGTAGAACATCAAGAGATGGGATATTGTCATTTTGCTACTCTTCTATTGTGAAGTTGATTTCCAGATGAACAACATTCTTATCAATTTCATTTTTGTTAACTATGAAGGTATCATCCATGTAACGATTGTATAATTCCAACCGGCTAATAACTTCGTTCAGAAGACCATTCTCTAGTTTTGCTAGAAAAAAGTCTGTTAAGAGTGCGTCAAGAGGTGATCCCATAGGCACACCATCAGATTGCCTGTAGATTTCATTGTTAAAAAGACAATGTACACTCATCGTACGCTTCAAAAATAGTTCTTTCAAGGTAGAGATTAGAATACCTATTTCTATGCCGTGCTTAGTAAGTTCATTGCAAATAAAATCTACTATTTCCATTAAGGGATTTGTCCCATTTCACTAAGTGTTGATCATTTGGTGAAGTAGTTTCAGTAACTGATTCTGTTATATTCCTGGAGTAACCCTGTTGCTAATTTGCTATACCTTAGTCTGGTTGCAGTTGTCTTAAGCATGTGATTCTGACGTTTAAGGTGACTTCTTTGCTGGTGATTCATTTTAGATATACTTACGCAAACACTTAGTCACACAGTTCAGTCTTCCCCTGCAACCGTTTATAATAGAACATGAGATCTCACGGTTATTATTCGTGTATTTCAGCCGATCTGATTCTTCTGTTTATACGCAGCTAAATTACTTGACCACAATATACCATAATTTGTAAAAATAAAAAATAAGGCAACTAATTTCAAGCACAAAGGATGGGCTAATGCGCGGTAATGGGGTTCACTCAACATGCAGTTATTTTCAAAACATAACTCATACTTAAGAGTTCATATTTGAGAGGTCGATCCAAAACTCTTGAACCAAGCAATAGAACAGTGGTACCAATTAAGTCATAATTGTTATTATTTATCCCTTAGGTTCCCAGTGGAACATAGGGCTTCATTAACACGTCTTTATTGCACTCTCTTCTCTTCAGTCCTTTGAACCTGGCGCCATGACTGCCCACAAGCTTTCATTCCTTCCTCACATGATCTCTTCCATGTCACCCTCCGACGCCCAACTCGTCATTTCCCCATTGGGTTCCACTCAAGAGCCTGGTCTGGTGCGTGATATCCTCGATCGGCCTTCTCAGTGTATGCCCAATCCAATCCATCTCCACTTTCTTCTGTATATTTTTTGAGCGATAGGTTCTTGGTTGGTTCGTTGCCAGAGTTCCTTGTTGGCTACTTTTTCTGGCCATCTGATCTTCAGTAACGAGCGTAAGCAGTTGCTGATGAATGTCTTTAGTTTGTTGGAAATGTCTTTCGTGACACGCCAAGTCTCTGAACCATATAGCAGCACTGACTTGACGTTGGTGTTGAAAATCCGGATCTTGTTCTTTGTGCCGAGTTGAGTGCATTAGGTCTCCACACTAATTTTAGATTGGTGAAAGCCTTTCTTGCTTTTCCGATCTTGGCTGCTTTGACATTCTCATCTGTGCCGCCTGTAGTCGAAACGATGTTGCCTTGCTTAGGTAGGTGTAGGTGAAAGAAACTACTTCCTTTAGGTTTCCAATTAAATCATAAGTAATTAAAATAATATGATCAGTCACACTTATCTGATTCGATCCACATTTTCCACTTTTCGACTAGTTCAATACATTCATTTCATAAACAAACAACTGGTGAGATGAATAATTTTTTCGTTTGTTTAGATAATTTTCCGTTCTCTTCATCTTTATTTTGACCTTTCGTATCGATTTTTGCTGTTGTCTAGGTTGATGCAATCTTATCTTTTGACAAGTCAGATGATTTAATGTCTAATTCTCCTAGGAAAGATGCAGAAGAATGTTATGATCGTGATTCAGGGAAAAATGTAACTTTGGATCCTGTGTCAAAAGAGTCGACAAATGTGGTGTCAGTTCAATCGTCTACTGTCACCACTACTGATAATGAAAAGCATGTTGACTCGTTTGATGTATGTTATATTACTTGGTTGCTTGATTTTACATTTTTTTTGCTAAGCATTTGAAGTATTCACTTGATGTAAATTAATATGTTATTGGTTCTATCATACTTATTCTCTCCTCCTTTTCATAGACCGATGAAATTTCACCTTGGATACAGAAGGCCTGTTTAGCATTTGCCAACTTTTGTCGCACCGACTGGCGAGATATCCGGATATCTATCAAAGGATGAGTGTACTACGCTGTAGTTCCTTCTGTCTCGTTGTACAGTTATAAGACATGAAGCGGTTATATGGTTTTGATCAGAGGTATCTTCGTACTATTGCTTACATTTGATGGGATCTTTCTGTGAGCAATGTTGAGGTTATGCGAAGGGTATTAGATAAGATAAGCAGGTGGATTGATGGGGTTGTGAGCCTTCATCGGCTGAACAGGCTTGGACATGTGTTGGGCATACCAATCGATCGCTTACTTCAACTTGCAATGCTAGGGGAAGGTGGATCAATTTGGAAGAGGATTCAGGCTGACCATACCTACACATGGCACTAGTCGATCAAATCCCTGACTATTGGTCTCAACCATGTGAGGAGATGTCGACTACCTGTCCGGAGTCTGAGATGATAGGAGTTAGTGGTTGAAAACTCTCGGTGACATGGCTAAAAATTGGTCACACTGGCGCGGATGTATTCAGTCGTTGACGTCTGAAGCTTGAATATTCGCACTATCCTTTGTTTTCAAATCGCTCATTCTCTCATACAACTTTGTCTACTGTGATATCAGTCTTTTTCTACCGACTTGTTCTTTATATACTACTGTGAAGTTTGGCAACTTGATGTTATGGACTTGTACGCGACGTTCTACCTTGATTTTGTCTATCTACCTTATCCTTTTCCGGGAGGTTGGGGGTTTCAGATGTAATGCTGAATCAGTTTCTACGTTGTAAGCGTGTATTAAACTAATCATTATTGCTAACTTCACTTTGATCTACTGTAATGTCTTGCTTACCTTATCCACTTCTTATTTGTATACCAATGTATGACAATGTGTAAACTCGTGCATTTTTGCACCAGCTTCTCTGTATTCACTGATTGTCATTCTGGATTATTTGATGAGTATCGCAAGTCATTTGGAATCGATACTTCGGGGGAAGGGGGATTTAAAGTGGTCTCAGTGGTAGGTAACTACAACGTCATATTATCTTTATGTAAATCCCTTGATTATTCACGTTTTTAATTCACCATGACAGTGATGAAAATACTCATTAAAAAAAGGAGAGCTTCGAAGAGCAAATTTATTTTCGGCGATTTCTCATTCACAAAATCGACTTAACCGTATTGAAGTAGAAAGGAATGTTAATATACTTTTCAAATCACAGATCCTAATATGTTGCGAATTACAGTTACATTTAAAAAGAATCAACATATTTGACAATTGTGTAAACTTCACGATCAAAATTTGACCTGATAGTGTTGGGCAAGTTGATCATTTCTGACATTTTGCGACTTCGTGGAAATCGCTTCTTCAGAGAAGAAAACCTGTACAAATTATCGATTGTTTAAATAGTTAGTAAATGGTGACAAATCAGATCACATTGCCTGTACATGATAATAATATGAGCATAAATGTCATATTGTTTATCATTTGACTATCTGAGATAGCCGTAGTTTGGCAAACTAGTATTGATACTGGGTGATGATTGAAGGTGAGATGAAAATTTGGACCGTGACCAGATTCGAACCAGCAACCACTAGGTTTGACATGGTAGTCGGGCAAAACCCTTGATGAGTGGAGTGAAATAAAAACCTGGTTTGATGGTTGGACCTCGTCGCTCAGTTAGTGATAGAGCATCGGACTGGAAACCTCGGTGGTCGCTGGTTCGACTCCTGCCGCGGTCCGAACTTTCATATTACCTTCAATCATCATTCAGTATAAATGTCATTGTTATGTCGGGTTGTGACTGGGTTCACACCCATTCACATGTGCACATATTCACATCACCTTGAACTCCAGGCTAATTAATGGATAACAAAGAGAAGTTTGAACGCTTCCTGATCACACTTGGTTGCCTAGATCAGGGTGTGGTATGTGTTGTGTGATAGGAATCTACAACACATTGACTCAACTGAAAACTGAGTGCTTAAGCTGGTAAATTCTCTTCTTTTTTTTCTCAAGGGAATGAATGTTAATAAAAATACTGTGAGATGAAACTGTTTTACAGTCTTCACTCATCCATATTGAGCCCTATATTGGAAAGTGTTGATATTCGATACTGTCTACGTAACCGGTTCCACAAAATTTGGTGTGTTGATTATATCGACATGGGATTCAGAATGTTTCCTTCTTACATATACTCGTTATTCACCTGTTAGTATTGGTGATTAACAATAGTTGCATAGAATACTCTTTGGATAGGTCTCACAAATTTGTACTTTAGATGTCATATCATTTATTGTATCTTCGTTTAATTCCAATGCCAAAATGTGCTTCTTCTTCTTCTTTTTATCCACATTGTTATAGATGCTCATTCTATAAATCTTTCTAGGTATCCAATATTGAACACCGATCCTATAAATCTTATTTTATCTTTTTAATTATAGGAGTACAAATCGTCTGAATTCATGAGGTAACTGTTTCGTCCTATTATGAGAGTTCTCAGTAGCATGTACCCATGACCTCGTCAAGGATTCTAACTTGGTTCAATTTTAGGTGGGTTTATGGATGTGAACAGCTGAAGAAGCCTCTTACTAGGACGAAACAGCCAATCAGAAGTGATTCGTTTGTTTTTTTCAGTGAATGTCTTTTTGCGATCATCTGTTTTATAAGCTGAACACTTATGGATAGCATTTTTGATAAAGATTTCATTTTTATTGTACAAGTGACCAAGGAGAGATCCTCTTTCAGACAATGCAATACTATTATTATGGGTTAAAATTCTGATTACAAACGGTGTTATGTATCATCAACGTATAGAATTGAAATTGTCTTATTTGTGGGTAATGTATAGTTTCCTTGATTTGGATGCCTAATCATCACTCTGCTGAGCTTGAACTGTGTTTCACCTACCAAGCTTTGTCTGGTCAAGTATCATCCTTATTCTTCACACAATAGATGTGGTTCATTGTCTAGTGAACAAACGTCCATGTGGTTGCTGAGTGCATTTCGATGTTGTTGTACCTTGGATGTTCATCTGAAGGGTAGTTCTTTGAGGTGTGTATTGCTGGTATCCCCTATGACTATTGTATTCAAGCAAGTACAGTTACATATGAGATTGGTTGTATCAGCTGTAGAGGAACAGTTTAACTACATCAAATTAATTGAAGTCCTATTGTCTGAAGCATTGGTATGTTGTATGTAGCATCAACAAAATTAAAAAGTACCCACTTAACTAGTAGAGATTTATACACTTGATAAATAGTAGTTTACCAGCCAGTCGATAGTTAAATTGCCTGTCTTCTCTTCTTTAGTTAGGTAAACTTACTTTCCTTTGATGAAACAGGTTTCTTCTATTACCTTTTCTCAATACATCCTTTCTGTTCATCGCGACCATGTAGACTGGCACTATATCTTGATACTGCATCATAATCTCATCGTCTTGAATACTTCAGTTAGTCAATGTAATCTTTCGTTCATCTAATACCTAGATTATTTTGTTTGTATATGTACAAATTGATTACAGTCAAGTAAAGTGGGTTTGACTGTCCTAGAGACGAAGCAGTTGAATTAGGCGTTTGTGAAATATTTTCTAGAGAAGTATTTATCTTGAAACGGTGGAGAATGTTTGTAGCTCAACGATATAACTTTAGTTATATTTGTGTGAAAGACTGGGACTTGATCGACTGGTGCCAGTTGCTGGTGTAATAGGCGTGAACATTCTTCCAACCTGATCCACCTTCTAGCATTGCAAGTCGAGGTAGGCGATGAATTGACATAAATAACATGTCCAAGCCTGTCCATCCGACGAAGGTTCACAGCTTCATCAATCGACCTGACTGTCTTGCCGAGCACCCTACGCCTGTTCTAAACATTATTTTTATTACGTGAACAGTAACCTTCAGATTCCATCGTCGAAGCTACACAGTGGGTTATGAAAAGCTTCAGGGAATTAGGGCTTTTAATGAAAATCTTGGCAATATTACTGTACACTATAACACTCAATATTGGAAAGATATTACTGTTTATGCTACTGATTTTGTCTAGAAAGATCATGAAGGCTTCATGATTATATCATCAAGTTCAGTGAATACAACACAACGAAAAAGGATCTATTCGATGGTAAGTTTAAGGGAGTTATGATTCGCCTTTTTGTCAAGTAGTAGAGAAAAATCTTCTGAAATCAACTATCAGGTTACTGTAAAAGAAATGTTTGGATGTTTCTCATGAAATTTTTTTAATTTGTCCATACTCAGGTTGATCAGCAACAAAAGCCAAGTCCCAGTATAATAAATGATAATCAAATACTACGAGAGTTAACTGAAGAGAAACTATCGAGTATAATGAATTCTCCTTCTTTAGAGAAAGATATTTCAAACTTAAGTAATTCCGATTATTCACAATCAGCTCCATCGAAACAATCTTCGATTCAATTAGAACTTCAAAATACATCTACTGAGGTAGGTATTTCTTTGTAATCCATACAAACATGTATGAAAATATCCTCTCTTAGCTCATATGAAAAATCGTTTAGTCATGAAAATATTTTCATAATCATTATGCATAATGTTTCTTAACTTTATAATCACATTTGTAGCAGAAACAGGAGAGCTATACATCTCTGTTAACAGATGAAATGAGAACAGGACATGAACAGAATGAACATGAAAAGAATTTGAATGCTTCACCAGTTGCATACAAATGTTATACATGCTCATCGATTTATCGTCATCAACAATCTCTTAAACGTCACAAGCGTAAAACGAGACATAGGGTGAGCATTGGTTAGTTTGTTTGTGTGGAGTTCGATGTTGTATGATATGATGATGTTGTAGAAAGCAAACAGATTGTATTTCTGACGCTTTTTTGACTGTCATATTGTTTTTGTTGTTGTTGGAGTTTAGCGTTGGTGGTGTGTGTGTGTGTGTGTGTGTGTGTGTTTGACTGTTTCTTAATGGATAGTATTGTTAAGTATTATACGAAGTTTTGTGTTATGGAATAAGTGAGTTTGTGGGATTTATTTGTTTTCTTTTCCAGGTGAACAGAGATTATTCTTTCCACTTGTAGTGTTTGTGACTAGTTCGCTTTTGCTATGATGAATGAGGTGTTTATTAAATGTGTGATTATTAATTTTAAGGATGTAATGAGCAATTAATACCTGGTAACATATAGATAGATAGACACACTTACACAGAGGGACAAAATCAACGTAGAACCTCGCTCAAAATTGCATAGACTCATGTTGCTACACTTCATGGTAGCGTTCAAAGAAGAAGTGGACAAGTAATAACTAATATCAAATTAGACAAAAGTGTACGTGAGGAGAAGGAATTTTGAAGATGAAGGTTGGTGGAAATATTCACGGTTTGGAAGACATCAAAGAGTGGATAAATCTGCTCCATTGTGACTGATTTTCAGCCATATCATTAAAAGTTTGCAAACACTGATTTCTATGGTTTCAGGGACCTCAGATAGGTGGTCTACACCTCCACACAAAGCTCATACCAAGAGTCAGGGACTTTATCGAGTTGTGCCACGTATTGATCTGGCAATCTTGAGCTGTCTTCCAACCTAATCCAACTTCTCTCAGCATAGCATGTCGACGAAGGCGATGACTCGATATGCGCTACACATGTCTAAGTCACTTAAGTCACCGAATGTTAACAACCTTATCCACTGACTTGCCTTTGCTGTCTAATGGCAATGTCTCACAAACGTATAACATGATTAAACATCCCTTAACAGGTTGTCAGATACCTTGCCAGTTAGGGGACTGAAATGATGCAAGTTGGCAGATGTCAAGCGGGCCCTGTGTATCCGAAGTGAGATGTCATCAGGAATCAACTCATTGGGGCTGATGCAAGTCCTCAAGTAATTCAAGTGGTTAGAGCACTGCACCAGTTCACTTTCCGTTCGAAGTAGTTCTGAAGCATTATCTCACACTTGACAAGTGCGAGACGCATGCCAAACATACTCAGGTTTCTGCTCAAGGCGTTGAGAAGAGTTTTTTTAGTTTCATCAGCGTCTTTACCTAATGGGACAATGTCGTCTGTGTACTTCAAGTCAACGAAATGACCTCCATGGAGGAGATCAATCCCTTTGAAGTCAAACGTACTTAAGGTTATTTCCATGAGTACATCTATAAAGAAATTAAATGGGAGTAGTGACAGTGGGGATTCTTGGTGTACACCACCAGTTGTCATCAATTCAGCGTGATTTTGAACTGGGGGCTTTGATTAGCCTTATATACTTTCTTGGTACCTCTTTCATGGTCAGACACTGTCATACCTCACGCTTGACTGAATCAAATACCGCCTTCAAGTGAAGAATTATGGCAAGTGTCGGCCACTGCAAAGCACTCCTGTGTTGTAAAACCTGATAAAGGATGAAAATTTGATCTATGCCCCCCTCATCCAGGTTCAAAACCTGCCTGGTATTCTCGAGCTCTACTTAGGTGCTGGGCAACTATGGACCCGAGGATCTTGGATACGATATTCGTTAGACTGATTCTTTTATGGTTGTCACAAGGAGACTTTCCTCCCTTATTACAGGCTATAATAATCATTGAAGTAAATGAGTCTGACTGCACTACCGCTGATTCCGAAACACTACATGGTATCTATTCTATGTTACTGAGTACTTTCTTCCTTTCACGCTTAAGAGTTGCAGGTGGAAAACCGGCAGGTCCTGGTACTTCACGTTGTTTGATTTTTGTAATAATTTTCTGTGTAGAACTGTTATTTTCGTAGTCTTATTGGACTATTTTGATGTGTATGTGTATCATCATCATCATCATAGTCTTGGATAACACTTATTGTATGCTTTTATTCTTCATCTTTTTAACATTATACATTTAGATTTCTGCTTATTCGATCTCCGATGGAATCAGTGAAGTGAATACTACAGAAGCGTTGGAAGAATCGTGTGGTACAAATGGTAATAAATTAGAGGTGGTGTCAATGGATAGGATAATCCATGAAGAATGTAGCCAACCAGCGTTTCACGAGACCATTGTTGTTGAGAATAAGCCTGACACTGAGTTATCTGAGGTATATTTCTGCGTTTTATCTTCATTTTTCTCGGTTATGTATTTTAACATTATGAGTTTCATGATATCAAGATGATTATTCATCGTGAACACTCAACTTTTGTTACTTTTTTTACTCATACTTTGTCGCTAATTACGTATAATTAAGCATTAGTCGACTCGTTATCGAGCATCCAGTTATCCTGTCATAAAGTAGAAAGACTCGATTACTTATATCATACTCAGGTAGTACCCATCTTGAAGTCAGATATTGACACAACACCTTCTAATCAACAAAGTTTAAGTATCACCTTTCAGTCAAGTAAATATATTAAATGTTTTTCACCTGTAGGCCTGTGTGTATATCGAAACCTCCTGGATTGTGAGGATCTTTTCAGTACACACTCTCTTCCAGGCCTAAAATGTGTCTGGTTTTTACTGCCTTTTCATTGTTCACAAACATCAGTTAGGCATGTAATTCTGACTCATCTTACTATTTCAGATACTAAGTTAATCAAAGTGATCGGCTTCTTTCAAAACAGGAACGAGAATACAACTACCTGTGTTTCTTTTATTATAATACCTTAGTTATTTGAACCAAAAATTTGTGATCATCTTCCATAAAGACTTTTTAGCAAAGATATTGAAGTATTCTTGTTTTGCATCATTTTAAACTTGAGATGCAACTGACAACTACATGTGAACGGACTGGAGTGTGCAACTGTAGATCAATTGGATTTTTTCGTAGTGTGTTATTTCTAACATTTCAGTTGCCTATCCTAAGATATTACTAGGAACTAGTCTTTCGTGGCAATTTTTTTTTACTGACCATCGGTTTTAGGCATTTTTAAAAATAAATAATCGCAAATAACTCTTTTGAATATTAACTAACATCGACGCATTCTTCTCATTCGATTTTACCACTCATTACTACTTGTGATCATATTACGAAGATACTTAGTGAGTTTACATTTCTCCCATTGATAATCATGATCGGTAATGAGGGGAAATTAAGTTTTCGCACTAGTTAGTTCGGACGACTCTTTATAAGAAGGATAAATAGATTTTTTGCGACATATTACAGGTATAAAACTGGTTTGCGTTTCCGAATAGCTCATTATATGAATTTATATTTTCTAGAGATACTTAAAAGTTCTGGCTGATTGACTGTGCTTCATTGCATTACTCGAGGTATGGTTGAATTCGGTTGCGTAATATCTCAAAGGGTTTTTTTTTTACACAGAGAAGTGTGCTCATATTGTAGTGAGCGTTTTTGTTAGCCTTCAAAAGCCATCGGACTAGATGGAATGCTTAAACTTTAAGGTTACATTAGTCGAACTACCCATATTTGAATACTTCTTGTCAGAGGGAAACACTACTGTATTTACTTGTATCCTTTTGATGGTAATCGCTTTATCACCATGCAATAGGCTTTTCTTTTGTATTTTTCGACTTGTAAAAACAGTTGTTCTGAGCTTCAACTGTCCATCGAGTCACTGAGATATACCATACCGACTGCTACTTGTAAACAACGTCTGTTTGTTAGGTGAATATCAATCATCATCATCATTATCAACATAGGACCAGGCATTACTGCGTAACGGTCCGAGTTGCCACACCTCATATCAGCACATCAAGTAAAAAGGTAGTGAGGTGAAGGATGAAGATAAGTGAATGCAGTCAAAAGAAATATAAAGTACGAGAAGAAAGGAAAGAGGAGTGACAAAATAGTGAGATTCGGTATAGCGTTGTTAAGATGAGGATAATGTGTGTATACATCTGCGCCACTGACTTCGGTTCTGAGCCATATCACCTAGGGTCTCCAACCACTGGTTCCTCTTGTCCCGTGGACCCCAACCACCTAGTCTGCATCGTCCTACATGGCTTAAACCAACAGTCAGAGACTTCATACATTGGTGCCATGTTTTAGTCTGGCCACCTCGGGCCTTTTTCCAGCCTGAACCCACCTCAGCCAACATTGTGTGACGAGGCAATCGGTGACTAGGCATACGTAGTACGTGTCCCAACCATCTCAGTCGATGAAGGTTCACAACCTCGTCGACTGACTTACCTCTTCTCCCTAAAACTCTACACCTAACTTCTGCATTACTCACATGGTGACACCACGGAATACGTCCTATACTACGAAGGCAACGGTGGTCAAATACCTGTAACCTTCTCATGTCTTCCACTTTCAATGGCCATGTTTCACAGCCATACAGTAGAACAGAGCGGACTGCTGTGCAGTACACGCGACCCTTAATAGACAAACGAATATCACGGCGGCGCCATAGGTGGCGCAAATTGGCAAAAGCCAATCGAGCCTTTTGTATCCGTGCAGAAATCTCATCGGCAACTAACCCACCGGGTTGATCCTACTTCCCAGGTAAGTGAAGTGGTCAACACACTCAACCACTTCACTCTCTATTGTTAACCGCGGTACCGCTGAAGACCAGTCCTGGAGCAAAAATTTGCATTTGGGTGGTGAAAATCGCATCCCAAACATTCTCAAATTCCCACTCAAAGTGTTCAGAAGACTCTGCATCTTGTCAGCGTCTTCACCTAACAGGACTATGTCATCTGCATATTCTAGATCTAAGGAAAATTCACCTGTGATCCGGTCAACGTCTTTGTAATTAGGTGACGAGAGGGAAACCTCCATAAGAATATCTATGATAAAATTAAATAAGAATGGGGATAGTGGGCATCCTTGACGGACACCACTTGATGAGTATAGCTCCCTGGACAACTCACCATAGGCTCTAACATGCCCACAAGTGTTCGAGTAGAGAGCTTTCAATAAGGTGATGTACTTACTAGGCACGCCTTTCAGTGACAGACACTGCCATAAGACTTCTCGATCAACGGAGTCAAATGCCGCCTTCAGGTCGAGAAATACAGCTATTGTCGGGCGTCTGTAAGCATGCCTATGTTCCAGGACCTGGCGCAGTGTGAATATTTGGTCGATACATCCACGGCCAGGTCTAAAGCCTGCCTGGTTTTCTCGGGCTTGCTGTTCCCGAGCTCCACTCAGGCGTCGGAGAATTATAGAACTTAGGATCTTAGACACTATGTTTGTCAGGCTGATTCCTCTGTGGTTATCACAAGAGGACTTCTCGCCTTTCTTGAAGACTGGGATGATCAGTGACTTAGACCAGTCGGAGGGGATCGTATTTGATTCCCATATACTGGCTAACACTTCCGTTAGCCTGACTAAGAGAACTCTACCACCATTCTTGTATACCTCAGCAGGTAGTCCGTCTGGTCCTGCTGCCCTTCCCCGTTTCAGGCTACCTACCGCTTTCTCAACTTCTTCTAGTGTTGGGGGACCTGTCTCTATGTCCCATTCAGGGTCCGACTGGATAGCGGGCAGCGCAATGGTGGCTGGAGGCCAGTTAAACTGTTCCTCAAAGTGTTCTGCCCATCGTCCCAGTCGCCTTCCCTGCGAGTGAATCGCCGATCCGTCCTTCTCCGCTATAACCTCACTAACTGTTGTTGACCATTTCCCCCCAGTCTCCTTAATAAGTCTAAATAACTGTCTACTGTTACCGATCGCCGCTGCCTTTTCCATCTCTTTAGCCTTTGCTGCCCACCACTGTTCACGATCGTTGCGCAGACTTTTCGTCAGTTTATTTTTAAGTTGCGCTCGCTCTTCATTGTACTCAGAGCCTGCAGGGATGCATTCACGTGCATCCATTAGTTTGGAAGAAGCTGCTGATATCCACTGGCTCTTTTTAGCCATTATCTTGGAGTCGGCTACAGTCTCCAGTGCTGCTTTTACAGTAGACTGAAGATGGCACCAAGCTTCTTCTGGATGAGTGACAGTCTTTTGTTCCGATAACTGCCTAGCCAACTTCTCACTGAACACGGCTTTGGTGTTTTCGTTGTCCAGCAGAACTCGTAGTGGTTTTGTTGCCAAATTTTTTCTACGTCCATTGAGACGCAGGCATATACGTGCTCGGACCAACGCATGATCGCTGTCCAAACACGTACTCCAGAAGGAGCGGCAGTCTTCCACCGATCCTCTCCAGCGATGACTAATAGCAATGTGGTCTATCTGTGTCCATCGCTGAGTCGAGCTCGGTGGACGCCAGGTCAGACAGTGCCTTTCTTTATGTCTGAAATTTGTGCTGGCTAAAAATAGGCGGTTATCTGAGCATAGTTGTAATAGGCGATCACCGTTATCTGTACGTTCAGCTGGGATTCCGAAAGTGCCACCTAAGTGCCTTTCTGCCTCACTCAGTCTACCCACCTGTGCGTTGAGGTCACCTGCAACAACCACTACGTCCGAACGTTTGGCTTTCGAGAGGAGGTTAGACAGTTTATGGTAGAACTCGTCCTTCACTTCATCCGAACTACAGTCAGTGGGTGCGTAAGCAGAGATTACAAAGAGACAACGGCGAGTCTCACTATTCCTTTTAGTTCTCACTGTGCCGTTCAGCCTCATAGCGCAGAGGCGACTATCAACTGGGATCCAGTCTAGTAGTGAGTTTTCTGCCCTGGTGCTTAATGCTATACCTACACCTGCAAGACCACGAGAGCTAGCTATCGAATCTCCTTTATCACCATGCAATAGGTTTTTCTTTTGTATTTTTCGACTTGTAAGAACAGTTGTTCTGAGCTTCAACTGTCCATCGAGTCACTGAGATATACCATACCGACTGCTACTTGTAAACAACGTCTGTTTGTTAGATGAATATCAATGACGGAGGCTTTTTTGTACTAGCTTGTTAACCGCACTCTTATGAGTTTATTAAATATTTTTTTGTTGCTAAGGTGAAGCAAAGTTTGAACTCAGTACCCGTACCCATTGCTGGAAAATTGACTATCTGAGCCAATGAACGATATTTCCAAAAGCGAGTGATAGTTGGTAGTTTTATCTCCAACCTAAAGTTTGATTAATTATGACAACTTTATCCTTTCAATGTTTCTTATTTTTGGTTTTAGACTGATTCTAATTCGAATCTCTATAGACATGATAAGTTAAAGATTTTCGAGTCTTCTGTAAAAACTTCAACAATTAACACAATGAATAACCCTTTAAACGAATTGTTTAGAGTTTTGGCAGAAGAGGAACATTTAAATTCAATGTCAGTAGAACCGTCTGTTGACAAAGAGGTGATATTTACTGAGGTATGTTCCATGTTTATCGAGTATGTTCCTCGTAATGCTTCAGAGTTTCAAACTTTATTACTACAGTACATGTCTCATGAAATCGATTTTGGGTTTACTTACTGTGTGTATTTATGTTTACTGTCAGGATTTTAGTTGTTCATTCTGATTTCTATCCTAGTTATTAAATATCCTATGAATTTATATGCGGCTATCGGGACGAGGGCTGCATGTTTGCCTAAGGTGTAGTCTATGAAACATGAAAATAGTAAATATGATTATAATTTTCTACTAATGATGATGGAGTAATTTAATGCATGGCGAAACTCTTCTTATTTTGTGGGTTAGTGCAGCAGACTCCTCAGAAGTTTGAATCTATGACTCTGCAAGAACGGGCTAAGTAAATCAATGTTCTGCGACTTGATACCTAGTGCAGTTTTAGGTGCACCTTTTTGAGGAGTCGAAAACGAGAATAAAACATCTGTCTAATGCTTTCTCAATGATTGTCCGGCTAATTTTTGTCTCTGATGATAATCCTTATTAAAAATTTGGGTAATTTCTCCGTATAACGCTGCAAAATGTTTGATAAAATACCATGGTTTTCTAAACTCAATGCAATTACTGTTTTGTTTTTTTTGTTTCATAATAGTTGAAGCGAATTCTTTTCTCTTATAGTGTTGCTTACGATTCTGAAGCTTTTTTTGGTGAAGGTATAATTGTATACGTTTACCTATCAAGCCATACATAGTCATAAGTGATCGTTCATCATCAAATGTGTTCAAATCTGATACTGCATATCTGTGCTTGTTTAATGAACCATTCCGGCGTTTGTTTTTTATCCAATCTAATCTTTTATTTTTGTTATTTTTAATTGTGAATATAACTAAACTACTAATACCGTTAAAAGTAGTTTGTAAACGTAGACCAACTTAGATATACCTTGAATACATTACCCAATCCAGCGTACCCTTCTGTGTCGGCTGTGATGAAAGTTATAGGTATTCAAATGAAGAAATTGTATTACTTCACTTTCCTTTATCCTCTTCGTATTTCAATTGGCACCTTACTTGACAATGAATCTACCAGTAAAACCCAGGTTCCAAGCTGCTGTGGCCATTGAGTTGGCCAGCGTAATGTATCTCATCGGTCTACGGTGTTGACTTCCAGCCAATGGGTTACGGGTTTGAATACCGCCCCAACTACCGGAGTTTGAGCAGCTAGGTAGTACCATTAACCCCCACATTGTGAGTGTGGCTCATTGCTTACTGCATTAATATACACGAGATTGCTGAATGTATTTCGTTCGTCCGAATCCAGTGTTTATGTGTTGAACAGGATGTTGTATTTATTTGTAATATTATTAATAATGTTATATCAATCCCAAGTTTCTTATGTGTAATTGCATCCTTTCAGCTTCATGAAGGTGGAAATGTGAGTGTCAAGGAGAAAATACCTGTTGAATTCTCGACAACAGTATCTGACATATCCACTAGTGATGCTATTCCTGAGGAGATCGCACAAACTGATGATGTTGCAACAAGTATTGAATCGACGTCAACAAAGACCATGTTTATTGAAGAAAATAAGTCTGTAGAAGTGATGAATGTGAGTACTGATGCGCTTTTTTTTTTACCTTGACGTAGTAAATTACATTATCCAAATCTTACTTGTCAAGTTCGCTCTACATTACTACCATAATAGGCACCTATTTTTGGGGTATATGTAACTGGTTCAATTTCTTGAGAATTCACTCAAATTTTAGGTGAACTAATATTTATTTGTACTGGGTGATAATTGAAGATGACCGGGTTCGAACCAGCGACCACAAGGTTTCCGGCTCGACGCTCTACCAACTAACTGAGCTACGAGATCCAACTACTGACTAGATTAAAGTGAGATAAAAATTTGGTCAATAGTCTGACCTCGTAGCTCATTTGGTAGAGAATTGGGCTGTAAATCCGGCGGTCACTGATTCTAATCCGGCTGCGGTCCAGATTTTCATCCCACCTTCAATCATCCCCAAGTATAAATACTAGTCTGCCAAACTGCGGCTATCTTAGATAGTCAATATGACAATAATTACTTGTTTATTTATTTATCTTCTAAACAGAAGGATGATTCTTGGTTGAAAAACATCCAACCATCTCCTACATCTTGTCGGTATACATGTTTATGGTGTAGTCGTGTTGTCAAGAGATATCCAAATTTTATCAAACATGTAGCTGCCTGCAAAGATAGACCTTCGGGAAGTGAGGTAGGTTTGCGTGTGTGCATATGTATTCGTGTGTGCGTATGTATGTATATGTGTTTGATGGAGATGCTGTCCAGTTAACGATTTTACTTATCATCGCTGCTGTCTTTATATCCTTCCCCCATAAAACGGATAAGAATAACATGTGCGAGAAATGTGTATAGGTCGAACCCGCTAACTGACGTTTCTACATATCTATGTATTTTTCAACTTGTATCGCATGTTATGGTTGAATGTCATGTGTAGTTCCTAATGTTGTACGGAACTCGTTTGGCTGTCATAAGACTTGGCATCTAATTGGATAGTTGACTTATTGTTATTCACTAGTGATAAAAAGAATATAAGATTATGGGTTTGTGGAGATTTTATTGCAAGATAGTATCCTTCATGGACTGACATCATTCAGAGGAATACTGAAGACCTGAGACGATGGGGCAGCTGTTTGCAGACGTAAACATCCCGATTCCTATCCCTGATCCGGTCGTGGGTGGGTACCGCTAGGGAGTCCCATTCTAGGACGAAACCCCTGTCCACCGCTCCCAGTTTTTCAGTTGTTCTCCAACTAATATCAATCCGTTGTGAATACTGCTTTGAAATAAAATCTTCATAAACGTCCAATTGTATTACTGTATTTTTGTTCACTAGTGAACTGATTCGAGATGAATATCCTGAAGTTCGAATAAGAGAAACCATCAGCTCTGGGGTCAACCAGTCAGAATCGAAGACCTTAGTAGATAGTCTCACCATATTGCGAATTGACAGGAGTAAAAAACTATGAGCCAATGAACACCAACCCAATGGTTGAATGAATATCACATTGGCTACTAGGCTTCAAAGTCATGGGTTACATCCTTCAATGCGGTCGTAGGTGATTACTGCTGAGAATATAAGATTTCGTGTTTATCCAGTACCTTTCACATAATCAGTGGTTCTTTTAAAATTTTCATTGGAATATGGGATGATGTAAGCAGTTTGTAGGGACCCATTGAGATTTTTTTCGATATCATACCACACCTTATCAATGTGTTCTATGTGTGAACATTCCGTTTAGCAATTTTCGCTTATTCTGGAAATAATATAACTTGCATAAATGCATATTTTCTGTTTTCTTTTATAAAACAATAGATACCACAAAGGTCGAACACTAATTTACTCAGTGTATCTTCTACTGGTGGCGGTAATTCATCACATCATTCTAGAAAATCATATCCTCTTGGCTTAAGAAGTAGTAGACCATCAATACAATCTGATAAAAATGTACAGAACACTGAAGGTATATTGAATACAAAGCAATTAGCCAAAAAGGAAAAGAAATCAACTTCATCATGTTCTCCTCATCATTCACGAGTAGAAGAAGAGTCATCCAAGAGGTGATTAATTTTTTAAAATTATTTTTATGCATTGAAGTAACTTTCACTGTTTCTCATATATGCTTGTTTTTTTGATTGAATTGATATTTTGCGTATGTATCTATTCATAGGCTTTAGTCAACTTCAAATATTTCTTCAGATATCAACCGTTTTCCTCTTATCGAAAATTTATTTCTACTTTTACGCTATAGGGATTTTCCAGTAACACAGACTACTGTTGTATAGTATAACTGAACTGTTGATCTGATTTGTGCTGAAAGAAATAATAAGGAACTCAACCTTTTTTCACTAGTAAATCTCTGTATTTCCTTTTATGTAACCAATATTTTCTGTGCTGATTTCTTTGAAAGTGTGAGAACAGTATATATATATATATATATATATATATATATATATATATATATATATATATATATATATATATATATATATATATATAGTATTAAGTAAACGGTATGGACGAGTCGTTTCTCAGACATGAAAACTGTATAGCATAATAGGTTTGTTTCTGTTCTTAGGACTTTCATTTTTATTGGAAGACATATTTGATGGAATATGAATTGGAATAGGGAATCAATGTATCACTTATTATGCAAATGAGTGAGTAACTTAGGGAATAAGCGAATGAATTATTTCGAATGAAAAAGAACATGACTATACGATAGAAATTCCTAATACATCTCTAAAACTTATACATTTCAAGTATTCAGTCATTGAATGTCCACTAAATACTACTAAGTGGTCTACAATTACTCCCAGTTTAATGATATGGGGTGAATTGATGAAATGTTTCAATCATTTCGCTCACTTAGAGAGCTGAATCATCTCGGAAGAGTTAGTTGTTGACGAAATTTCAGCTGGGATACAGAAGGACTGTTTTGGCATTTGCCAACTTGATACCGATTGAAGAGATAACCGACTATCTGTCAAAGGGTGAGTATACTACGCTGCAGTTTGTTCTGTTTTGTTATACAGTTGTAATACATGGTGGTTAAAAGTAAAAAGACATTAGGCGATTATAAGATTTTGATGATAGGTCTCTTTGTAGCATTGCTCGCATTTGATTGAATCAGCATATGAACGGTGATGAGGTCAGACGAAGGCGACTAGGCAAGACGGCCAAATTGGTTCATTAGGTTGTAAACCTTGATCAGCTGAGATTGCTTGGCCATGTGTTGCACATACCGCTCTACTGCCTACCTTGACGTGGTATGCTAGAGAAAGCGACATTATATTGGAAGAGAATGCAGAGTGGCAAGATGGAGACTAAGCACCAGTCAGTGAAGTCCCTGACTGTTGGTTGGAGCCATGTAGGGGGATGTCGACTACGTGGAGATGTATTCACTCCTTGACATCTAAATCTTAAACATTACCACTAACCGTTATTTTCAGATTGTTTGTTCTCTCACACAACCTGTTCTTCTTTGATATCACTCTTTTTCTATTCACCTGTTCTTTGTATACTACTGTGAAGTGTGGCAACTTGAGACGGTGTACCTTTGTGTGAGGTTCTTCACTGATGTTATTCTGCCTGAGACCAGTAGGAGTTTTCAGCTGCTTTGCTATATTTTCTATTTGCAGAGCTATTTATCATCGTTTAGCGGTATTCATCTGTTGTATAACGAAATGTAAATACAGTTGAAGAATCTACACGTGTTTTTAATCTGTCCTGCTCGTCTAACTTATGTATGTTCGGCATGTGACAGTTAGGTACGCTTGGTGTGATCAGTTATCAATTGAACCTTGTTTTCGAGTTCCTTCAAACTATATGGGGCGATGCAGAAAACTGGTTGGGGTCCGTAGGACAAGAGAAACCAATAGTTGTAGACTCTAGGTTATATGGTTGAGAACCGATGTCAGTGGCGCATATGTATACACCTTCACCTTCCTTTGACTACCATTTTGTTGCCTCGTTACTTGATGTGATGATATGAAGTGTGGCAACTTGAGCTATTACTCAGTAATGCCTGATTCTATGTTGATCTTTATGATGATGATGATGACGATTTCGATGGCGTTGCGTTCTTTGAGGTAGATGTTATAGTCTTGTAGCTTTCATTGTCATTCTAGACAACATCATCATTTGTTTTTGAAGTTTCTCCATCATCTCAAGAATCTTGTTTTATAATGATAGAATATTCAAGTCAATTTATGCAAATTAGTGATGTACTTTCAAGTTGAAAATTGAATTTCAGATGGTAAATGTTCGTTAAAAAGGGAATATTTATAGCCATGTTTCACAGCCATACAGTAGAACCGAGCAGACTGCTGTGCAGTACACGCTATCCTTAATAAACAATCGGATATCAAGGCGAAAGCCAACCGAGCCTTTTCTATTTGTACAGAGATTTCATTGGCCACTGAGCCACCAGGGCTGATTCCACTTCCCAGGTAAGTCAAATGGTCGGTCAACACACTCAACCACTACACTCTCTATTGTTAGCCGAGGCACCGTTGAAGACGAATCCTGGAGTAACAATTTGCATTTGGGTGGTAGAAACGCGTATTAAACATCCTTAAGTTGCCAGTCAAAGTGTTCAGAAGACTCTGCATTTTGTCAGCGTCTTCATGTAACAGGACTGTGTGGTTATGTGTATATAGTAGGTGTAACAGAAAAGCCTCCCACGAATCAGGTCAACCTGTGTGTAGTGAGGTGACGAGAGTGAGACCTCCACAAGAAGATGTATGATAAAATTGAATAAGAATGGAGAGTGTATGCAGTCTTGACGAACACCATTCGATGAGCGCAGCTCCCTGGACATCTCACCATAGGCTGTAACACACTGATAAGTGGTCGAGTAGAGAGCCTTCAATAAGGTGATGAATTTTAGAGAGTAAATGTTCTTAAAAAAGGGAATATTTATGGGGTAGGATTGAAATTTCTACTTGTTGTATATATATGTTTCGTTCATTAGATTTAAGCGATTTTACTGTGACTGCAGTATGTCTTTGTTTTTGTCGATACATTTATTTTACATTGAATGATTGTTGTCTCCTTTATATATATCTCATGTATCTAGTCGGCGATCATCAATATCTACTCAACATTCTAGTGATAATTGTATAGATGATGAAAAATCGATTGTATCGAATGCAACTACTATTCCTGCTTCTGATCAAATCGTTAAAGATAATAATAATAATGATAATAATAACTCTACACTATTCATTTGTTCATGGTGTAATAGATCTGGATTTAAATGTTTACGATATCTTAATATACATTCTGCAAGATGTTCACTTCGTCCAAATCGATTAACTAAACAGAAAACATTAGTATTATCAAAAAAGTATCCTGTACAGATTACAACTAATGTTGACACTGGTAGTGGTGTTGGTGTTGTATGCGAACAGTGTAATCGAGAATTTCGTTCAATTACCGGTTTAAAAGTTCATCAAACTATGCTAAAGCATAAAAGTAATCAACAGTCAATTGATAAACTATTCTCACAACAATTAATAGCTTGTCCAGGTTGTTCATATAATTCTGCATTATTTGATTCAACTGAAAAATTATTGAAACATTTATTAACTTTAAAATCGAATACAAGTAATAGTCATACAAGTCGTAGTCAATATTGGCCTACTGTATTATCTGTGCCTAATTTAGGCTATGGTTGTCATATTTGTGGAATGTTACTTGCTTCTGAATCACGTTTAGATAAGCATAAAAAAGCGGTACATGAAACTTGGCTATTGGAAGAACAACATAATCTTAGTCCAAGTAAATTGACTTTATCCACTTTGTCTATCATTTGAAACAATCTACACTCCTTTAAAGATGCTATTCATAAGAAGGGGAAAAAAAATGAACGAATGAATGAACAGATGAAAAGAAAGGCAAATTGGCAATAATAATAATAATAATAGTGTGATATACGATAACCACATGTATCTTGTACATACATACACATGTAAGTAATAGGTAATGTGAAAAATAAGTACATAGCAGTGCAGTCATTCAAGATAACAAATGATGATGAATGTCACTGTTTGTGTTTATACACGCTTAATATTCTGTAGAATCGATTCTATCGCCTCATATTCTATCTGCAGTATGTATAGTAAGTAGTAGAAGTTATAATAGTAATATTTTTACTCTATCTCTGTTTGTCGCGTGGTATAAACAACAACTTTAATGTCATCGTGGTTTATAGATCAACAATATTAAAGTGGTTGTTTACACCACACGATAGACAGACTTCTACTACTTACTATACATACTCCAGATAGAATATGAGGCGATAGAATCGATTCTACAGAACATTAAGCGTGTATAAACACAAACAGTGACATTCATCATCATTTGTTATCTTGAATGATTGCACTGCTATGTACTTATTTTTCACATTACCTATTACTTACATGTGTATGTATGTACAAGATACATGTGGTTATCGTATATCACACTATTATTATTATTATTATTATTATTATTATTATTATTATTATTATTATTATTATTGCCAATTTGCCTTTCTTTTCATCTGTTCATTCATTCGTTCATTTTTCCCCCCTTCTTATGAATAGCATCTTTAAAGGAGTGTAGATTGTTTCAAATGATAGAGATTGTCTTCTTCATGATCCTTATTTATTACAAATCTTTATCAATGTATACTTATTATTTCTTTTCCAACTCAGTCCTACTACTACTATTACTCACACTACTACTACTACTTACTACCAGTAACTATTAGTTATGTATGTACAGTTTGAAAAATATAAAATTCTTTTCTTTCCTCTTTCTAATCGCCTTTTTTTTCTTTAGAAATAAGTAAATAAATTAATAGTTTTTATATTAGGATTTTTCAATGAATCATTTTTATATGAATATTTTATGCTTCTCTTTTCTTGATAACAATTTTTCTTTTGACTTTAGGGTTGTTCTATGTTTGTTTTTTCGTCTGTTGCATAATCAACACCTTTTAATTGTCTTGTTTTTGGAAAAACACTTTTCTATGTCTACCATGTTTTCTATGTGTATGTGTGTGTGTGTGTGTATGTGAGAATTTCAGTCAGCTTGTTATCTTTTTAAAGTAGCACTTACGCTCTATCAGGTGACAACAAAAACCAGCAAATGTTGTGCTGAAATAAAGATTATACATTATGTGAAAAAAAGAAGCAATCATTTGTATATGTTTATTTTTCTTTCTGAATGTTTTAACGTAATAATTTCTGTTTGTTTTTGTTACGGTGGTTGTTTTACAAGTTCGGGGAATCTGTCACCGTTCTGTGCGGTACTATGAATAGCGATGATATAGAACCTATATTTTATTCTTTTCAGTTTATTTATCATGAAAATGTGAAGTTATTTTATTTTATATCGGGTATACGTTTTTTCTTTCGATAGAATGAGCAGGTATGTTCCATCTTGTGTAGGAGAATGTAAACATTTTATCCATTGTTCGCCTTTCTTGAAGACTGGGATAATCAGTGATTTAGACCAGTCAAAGAAGATCGTATTGGACTGCCATATACTGGTCAACACTTCCGTTAACCTGACTGAGAGCACCTTACCACCATCCTTGTATACCTCTGGAGTTAGTCCGTCTGGTCCTGCCGCCTTTCCTCGTTTCAGGTCACCTACAGCCTTCTCGACTTCTGCTAGTGTTGGGGAGCCTATTTCAATGTTCCATTCACGATCCGACTAGATAGCGGGCAAAGTAATGGTGGCTGGAGACCAGTTAAACTCTTTCTCAAAGAGTTCTGCCCATCGTTCCAGTCGTCTCCCCTGCGAGTGAATCGCAGATTCGTTCTTCTCCACTATAGCCTCACTAACTGTTGTTAATCTTTTCTCCTAGTCTCCTTAATAAGTCCAAATGACTGTCTACTGTTACCAATCGCCTCTGCCTTTTCTATCTCTTTAGCCTTCGCTGCCCACCACTGTTCGTGGTCGTTGCATAGACTTTTTCTGAATCTAATCTTAAGTTTCCCTCACTCTTCGTTGTACTCAAAGCCTGCAGGGACGGGTTCAGGTGCATCCATTGGTTCAGAAGAAGCTGCTGTTATTCACTGGTTCCTTTTAATGACTTTCGCAGTCGGCTACGGTCTACAGCGCTGCTTTTATAGCAGACTGGAGATGTCACCAAGTTTCTTCTGGGTGAGTGATAGTGTTCTGTTCTGATAATTGCCTAGCCAGCATCTCACTGAACACGGGTTTAGTGTTTTCGTTGTTCAGCAGCACTCGTAGTGGTTTTGTTGCCAAATTCTTCCTACTTCCATTGAGACGCAGGCCCATACGCGCTCGGACCAACTCATGGGTCGCTATCCAAGCATGCACTCCAGAAGGAGCGGCAGTCTTCCACGGATCCTCTCCGGCGGTGACTAATAGCAATGTAGTCTATCTGTGTCCATCGCTGAGTTGAGCTTGGTGGGCACCATTTCAGACGGTGTCTTTTATGTCTGAAATTTGTGCTAGCTAAAAATAGGCGGTTATCTGAGCACAGTTGTAGTAGGAGACCACCATTATCTGTTCTAGGCACATAATTGAGTGATGTGGGTTCGCATCTCAGACGGGATGTTAGTTCCATCTTTTTAGCCAACAAGCACGGAACCTAAGGCAATTAGAGCTTCCCGCCGATTATCTGTCCCCAACTATGAGTATGAAATTAGATAAAGCAATTAACACTACAGTGTCTACTTCTTAAGGTCGTTGTCGATTCACAGAACTGAGTTGGTGAGTCTCTATTGATGGTTGGTTTTTTGTATAAATGCACCTGTACACGCCGTAGATTTCACTACTAACCAGTATCAAATGTGACATAATCTACATGAGAATTCATTAAAGGTAGTGGTGGTATGTTGGTGTTGATGGTAATCACTAGGACTCACTGTTTACTGGCCGATTGAAAATAAGGGTAAGTAGTTCCTTATGGTGAGGTCGTTTATAGAGACTAGAGATTTGAATCAACTTGGTGAGTTAAAAGGTACATATATATACATACAATTCCATTCGGGTTTTGACATAATTTACGATGGGCACACTGTTTAGTGATCAGTTTTTATGGACACATGCTGTTATAGATAACAATACAATGCTCCGAGACGATACGATTAACGATAGCACAATCACTTCTGAACCGAATAATAATAGCTGGAAACCCAGTCGTTTATATACCCTTAGATGACCTTGGCCAGAGAAGACAAGATAGCATATTAAAAGTGTAAAGTGGACCAATCAGCGTTTAGTTACCTAAGCTGTGTTAAAAATAAGTAACAGCCTGGCGCGAAAATAAGATTTAAACTTTACTATGATGATATAAACATGTTATAAGTCAGTTTTCTTAGGGATCCCTAATACGTGTATGTAAGGAACTTGGTTGCTATTGAAAATTTCAGGGATAGCCTTTTGATAATAAAAGTCAAGGCAAAAGTCCATATTATAAGCTGTTTGCCATTGGAGTAGACGTTTTTCAGCTCCATTTTCTTGATCTATGCTGCTATTTTGTCAGGATAGGCGTTCTGGATAGACTGATTTACAGTGGAATATTGAGAATAAGTTATATTTTACTTTTTCAGTAGCGTCTTTTTATGCGTGTGGGATGAGTGTATATAAATGATGCTGACAATACACGATCACCGATGTAAGTTATTCTCACAGTCAAATACCTGCTTTTTCTGCTAATATTTTTCGTTGCTGAATAAAATATATCGAACTAGAGGGGGGCGCAACGTTCGATATGTTGGGTTTCAGTTTATTTATGTTTCACCATTATCACTTCAGTGCCACTTAGTTTTTTTGCTTGATTGAACACTCCTATAAAATTGGAAAGATGGTGACCCTAATCTTTATGGCGTTGTCTAGACAGACAAGATCTATCCAAAACTTACTTCGTTGGTTGGTTCGAAATGCCACCTTTTACAGCAAGTGGATAGAAAAGGGCAGATGTCATAGTGGATATTAGTGTATAGGAGGACGAATTTGAAGATAAAGGTTAGTAAAAATATTCAAGCTTTAGAAGACGTCAAAGAGAAAATATATCTGTGCTATTGTAATCAAGTTTTACTCATACCACCAAGAATCGTCTACCACTGATTCCTCCTATTGTCTCAGGTACCTTAACCAGGTAGTCTACACCTGACAGACCAATAGCCAGAGACTTCATCGACTGGTGCCACCCTGAGCATTCTTCCAACCCAATTCAACTGTCTTGCATTGTACGTCGTGAAGGGTGCTGCGTCGGCATGTGCTAAAGATGTCCAAGTCATCTCAGTCACTGAAAGTTAACGACTTCAACTGGCTTACCTTCTCTGCCCTATGCACTTCGCCTAACCTCGAAATATTTCAGATGGTGATCCCACCGTACGTGAGAAATGGTATGAAGACGCCTGTGGTCTGTGATCTATCATATCTTCAAGTTTCAACGGCCATTTATCATAGGCGTATAACGTGACAAAACAAATTGCAGCATGATATAATCGTCCTTTAGCTAGTAGTCAGGTATTTCAACAGAGATTATGCGCGTTAGCAAGTGTGAAATGAGCCTTTTGTATCCGAGCTGAGATTTTGTCAACAACTAGCCCGATGCAACTGTCCAAGTAAGTGAAATGGTCGACAGATTCCATCGCACCACTCCCTATGAGAATGGTTGCACTCCGGCCCTGGAGCATCATATATTTAACAGGCGTCAGAGAGACATATCAGATATACTTAGATATCTGCTGAAGGGTTCCAGTAGACTTTGCGTTATATCAGCGTCTTCACCTAGCAGGATAATATCGTCTACATATCCAAGTCAACCAGATGCCCTCCAGAGGGTACATCAATCCCTGTGAATTCGGACGAACCTAAGGTTATGTCCATTAGTATGTCTATGACGAAGCTGAATATGAACGGTGACAGAGGACAGCCTTGGGGCACACCATAAGCTCTTACACAGGTGCATGAGTTGGAGGAGACAGCTCTGACTCAGGTAAGGTACTTGCTTGATAGTCACTTTACTGTATATGGCTGCTACAAAATCTCGTAGTCGACAGTCAAGTGCTATCTTCAGGTCAAAAATATGACGAATATTGACTGCTAGTGTGTGCGCCTGTGTCCCAGAATCTGTCAAAGGGTAACAATTTTATCGATGGACCCTCGCCTAAGTCTGAAACCTGCCTAGTTTTCTGGATTTTACCGTTCTCGAACTATAGACCCAAGGGTCTTGGACACAATTTTAATTAAACCGATCCCACAATGGTTATCACAGGAGATTTTCTATCCCTTCTTATAGGCTGGGATGACCGGTGAGGTTGACTTTTAATTTTCCTAACAACTGGTCACAAACTATGATGTTCTTCTACTTCGCATTGGTTCATATTTGAAAAAATTTCAATTCTGAAGGGAGTTGGGAAACCATCATCCAAGTCGCATTTAGTTTCGGGTTGAATGTTTGGTAATTTGGGCTGAGCTGTGCTGCTAAGTATTCTGCTCATCATTATAGCCCCCTGTCCTGAGAAGTTGTCAGAGTCTCATCCTTGTCGGTAATGGTCTCACTGACCATCATGCTCTTCTTGCCAGTATCTTTAATAAGCCCAAACAATTGCGGTAATCGTGTTATTGCCGTTCTCTGACGTGCATGTGCCCTTTCTAACGCATAATCGGAGTTGAATGAGGTACTCTCTAGTTATGGCTTCACCATATACATCGTCCGGACTGGAGTCGGTGGGTATGTGGGCGGCAATTGCCAATAGGTGTTGAATGATCTTCCAGATTCTCCCTATTTTTTAAAGATCCACTCAGTCGGACATCATACAAACGTCTTTTGACTGGTATCCAATAGAGAAGTGCACTCTCTTCTTTTCAACTAAAAGCCATGCCTACACCAGTAAGTTCACGGTAGCTAGCCATTGGGTCTACTGATACTCATAAGGTGAGTTTTGAAGATCCACTGCAACAGCAAGATGATAACCATACTCGAGTTCTGAACACGTGTCTCAGAGATAGCATTCATCGATGACTCAAGATTCCAGACTTCTGGCGAACGGTGACAGTTTTACGATTATGCATAGAGTTTGGACCTTGAAAGCTCTAGTATGAAGCCGGCAGCATAAGTCTTAGAGACTAGGAATGAGGTTTCAGTGACTTTGAGCGTTGGCAGTAGTCGCAGAGTGAGACGTTAAGGAATCTGTAATACTCTTATTAGTCGTATCAAGAGGTGAAGGTACGGCAGGAGACAGTTGAAGAGGGTAGGTTATGCTGGATTACATCTTATACACTACTGGAAGCATGCTAGCGGTTGATACTTCGTGGATGACCACATTGTGGAAAGCTGTTTCTTATCTGAAAGGGAAATGGATTTGTGTGACTTCAGAGCCTGTGGGACAGCTCATTAAAATCGGTTACACACGGCATTTTTCCAATTTCGAGATTTTCGTTTCTTGTTTCTCGATACGACTATGAATCTCTATAGTAAGCACCTGGAGGCCATGGGGTAGGGAATAGTGTGCTTTTTTTAAGGTCGATTTTTTCTGTATTTTACTGCCATGTGTATGAAACATTTAATTGCTGTCGCATCGCACCTAACCAGCTGTACAGCTTCGCCCTCGTACCTGCACCATAGTGTGACAAGTTAAACTACAGAGGTAACCGCTTTTCGTTAAATCTCTATGCAAAAGAATTCTGGCATGGTAGGACCTCGTGGGGACAGGCGTTCCAGACAGTGTAGCTTATTGAGTCATTGTGACATACAAACCCTACCACCACGTCAATGTAACAGCTACCGTGCTCTCTAGTTATTTTTCGTGTAGAGAGAGTAGACTTGAGTGTTGAAATCGAACTTCTAGTGAGTTTTCTTGCAGTCAGACTTGAATCAGTATATGATGTTGCATTCTCTCTGAACCAGTCGAAAATGGACAGATATTCTGCTTATGTTACCAACTTATATGAACCTGCAGAAGTAAATACATTTGTAGGATTGAAAGAAGGGTTTCACTTCGGTTTTCTGAGGACTATCTGAACTACTGATGTCATCGACCATCCTCAACCACTGTTTCTTGTCGTCTCGGCGACCTCAATCAGGCAATCTACATCTACTTACATGACTAAGACCAATAGTTATGAACTTCATCGACTGATGCCAAGTCTCCGTCTTGCCATTCTGAATCCTCTTTCAACATAATCTCGCTTCTTCTTGGATGCCACGTCAAGGTAGGCGATAGATTGGTATGCACATGACAATGTTCAAAGTACCTCAGTCTATGAGTGTTCAGAACCTCATCAATCGACTTGCCTGTTTTGTTTAGTACTCCCAACATTACTTATCACATGCTAACACTCGTTTTAGCAATAGATTGTGAACTGATTGATTTTTTTTTACTTTCAGTATGCTGATAGACACAGTTTCAATGATGTATACAGAAGACTGTTTGTGCACTGATCAGCTTTCACCGTATTTGACACTGTCTAGATATCCGCCTGCGTATAAAAATGAGAGTATACCATAACAGACTGCTGTTTTCCATTGGACGGTTGAGAAAATTGGCCAGTGATGATGAAATATTTTAAGAAGTTACAAATTCTCAATTATTGCGACTTGTAATTCCCTGTTTATTATCATGATGAACCGACTACTCTTGGCATATTGGCTCCGTGAAGGGGATGCTTCAAGTTTCAGTTTGATGTGAATTGTTTGGTGATGGTCAGCGGTGGAATGCAGAACGCACATTTCATCCCATTTGAGACTCATCAACTGAATGTAACTATACTCCGAGAGAGTAAAGGTGTTCCCACTAAGACTTTAATTCAGCGCCCATCGCTTCACGCGCCACAGCGTTATCCATTTGACTACTGAATCATGAATGACGTCGTTCATTATCATTCTGGACTGAATTGACCGGTCACTATTGGCATATTGGCTTCTTGAACACATGCTGAAATACTGCCTCCAGTTTCATCTGGGTTTCATTTGCTTCTGGTGTATTATGCAATGGGTGCTGTATTCGAGTCCCAGTGGCAATATCACCACTCGCTGAGATGCAAGTACATCCGGTAGAAGAGTCCTTGATGGAGTGAAACGCCTGTTCGGAATGCCGCTGCTAGTCATTACCAAGCAAATAACTTCGATGATTATTTTCTCCATATCATTTCTTGCATATAGGTAGAGAATAGAGTGAGTGATGTAGAAGCTCTGCATTGAGATCACGTGTACCTGCACTAAACCAGGTGTCTGGGCTTATGTGTTACACATTCCGAGTTACCATCATCAAAGCACAGTATTACCTGGAATACATTTAGGTTTGAAAATAATCTTGGCTATGCGGGACTCTTGCTTACAATAATTTCTCTCTTGAACCCTATTAATCACTTAATTTGGTTGTAAAAGGATGTAGTATGTTAAGATTTTGCTTATTACTTACTTAAGGGAATTTTTATAACCATGAATTAGACTTGCCATCTTTCTTTTCGGAGTGTTAGTTAGATTTACTGAAAGCACTGGATGGCTGTTTCGTCCTATCACAGGACTCCTGATAAGTGCGCACCCATGATCCAGCCAGAGGTCGAACCCAAGGCTCTTGAACTTTGCAGCTAGCACGTTACCATTGAGACACTTGGTTTGAACCTAACGATCCACATTTTTCTACTTATATCAACTTGCGATATAGTGCAATCATCATCATCCGATGTTGTCATTGGCCATAGGCTTCACTTCCAAATTGGTCTATGCGACAAGTTACGGCTAATCATTAGAACTTCAGGAAATCCGTTTCGAAGGATACCACTAGTAAACGCCAGACAGTAATTTTAGCTAGATTTTTGAAAGTTTTACTTATTCCAAGGTGGTATTCATCAGGCACTGACCTTAATTGGACAGAGTATCATCCAGTTAGTCGATAGATGATAACTGATGTAGTTGGTATATCCTAGATGCTGGTAGGAATCTGTGGAGGAAATTTGAAATGTTACCCTGAAGCTAATTGTCACTATATACTCTTTGAGATCATTAATAAACATTTCATTTCAGTGGTTTTAATCACGAAAATTATTTCTTTAATCTGATAAACTGTACAATTTTAATTCAATAAATCCTCTGTACAATAAATTACATGACAGTACGCTAACGATTTAAAGTGTTTATTTCCCTCGGTCTCCTTCTCTTCGTTATACTTTGTCATTCTCCTTTAACTGTTCACTCTAGAAAGAGTTTTCATTTTGATCTGCTTCATTGAAATGTTGTAACAGAATTCTTATTGTGGATCCACTTGATCGAATCATATCCACAGCTTGTTGATGAGTCATTGTGAGTGTACTGATTCCATTGATTTCGAGAATTTCATCACCAGTCTAAGGGTTGTATTGAGAGAAAAAATGTGCTCACTATACGTTTACATTTAATTGTGTTATTAACATAAGAAGGTTTGTTTACTCACAGACATCTGATTAACAAATTAATTCATCATTCACTATAGAAATTCTTATCTTAAATATTCACTGATTTCATGATGGTTATTACATGGTAAGCTGTACATTCTTCCGTCAAGTAGAAAGTTGCTCAGTACTAAATGAAGTCTATTAATGAAGCTTTAAATACAACCAGATAGTTTAGTGTTATGTTACTGCAATTCATCATGTTCTAATATGTATGATATTGTCAAGAGACAACTAATAAAATACTTCAAGTACTTGTTTCGTGTCTACTGGCCGACATCAGGAAACTGGTGTTCCTTTTGGTGATTTGCCACTAAGCTATCTGTGTAACAACTAACCTGTGAAGGACTGAAGTATGTGCATGAATTAGTAGCTGGATGATAACAGAATAAACTATCAAAGAGTGAATAGTATACTGTTTGTCAACAAATATAGGTGTGAGTGGGGTGGAAATACCATTCATTGCTGGAGAGATGCATCCAAATAACGAGTCTGGGATAGGATGAAACATGCATTCTGGATTTCATCGTTGGCTTCTATCCATCATTAGCTTCAAATATGCGTCCAGTTAAAATGATGTAAATAATAACAACTGTTATCTAGTGAGCTTTAAAACCTCGCCTAGTTAACTAGTTTACTAGTTACCACCCGGTCCTAAGCCCGGTTAAACAAGGAAGGTTGGGTACAGGGCTAGCAACCCTACCCCATAAAACCAATTCAATAGCTAAAGAAACTGTAAAGCACAAAAAAATATAAAAAATAAAGACGAACATATTCTTCGCTGGAATGATGCCGGTAAGTGAAAGCTTCCGGGAAGCCAATTTGTCTTCTCTCTCTCTCGATGACAGCAAAAGTAAACGTAGGGACATGGAATGTTCGCACAATGTTTGAACCTAGCAAGGCTGTCCAGATTGCAAAAGAGATGAGGAGTTATGGTATAGACGTGCTGGGAATTCGCGAAAGTACGTTTAATGCAAGTGGACTCTCCCAAGTGTCAGCTGGAGAGTCAGTTATCTACTCCGGTCACCCAGACGACAACCACGAGCACACGGAGGGAGTGGATATCATGATGTCTCTTTTAAGAGCATCAAAAGCTCTCGTGCAATGGGAACCAATCTTCTCCACGATCATGATCATGACAGCAAGATTCAAATCAAAATGAAGGAAAGTCACAATCATACAGTGCTACGCTACGCGCCTAAAATTAATGCAGATTAAGAGAAGAAGGAATTCTACAGACAATTGCAAGCAGTACCGGACAAGACTCCGGTTCGAAACATCAAAATTCTAATTGGTTAGGTGACATGAATGCCAAACTTGAAGCAGACAACACAGGAAGAGGACTCATCATGCGTCGAGTAGCACTCGGTGAAATGAATGAGAATGGAGAACTGCTTGCAGACTTCCGTGCATTTAACGATTTGGTGATTGGAGGCGATGTGTACAAACACAAGGATATTCATAAAGCGAGTGACATGGATTTCACCAGACACCAGGACACCAAAAATTAGATCTCCTTCATCTCAATGTGAAGAAAGTGAAGACGCAACCTACTGGACACAAGATAAAGAAGGGGAGTAGATGTAGGTTCAGACCACTTACTAGTTCCAGTAACCTACCTTCAAATTCAAATTGAAAGCCTTTGAAGAAATTGGTGGTAGACCACAGTTCGAGTTCAACACCCAGAACAGAAACTGAAGGACGAAACTATAAAGGACATCTTCACGCTAGTCAGTCGTCAGGAAAAAATGGGAGACATTAAGCGGTATCCCTGAAGAGACCTGTGTGGAAGAACACAGGAACTCTGTGAAGGAGACGTGGAAGGAAACCTGTATAACCTTATTAGGAAGGAAGAAGAAATAAGAGAAGGAATGAATCTTGACGGACACATGGAAGCTGATAGAGCAAGGAGAGGAAGATGGTGAGGGAGAAGATGAACCAGTACAATGTATAAAATACTGGACAAAGAAGTGAAGAGTGGACGGAAAGACAAAAGACACTTCTACGACACACTGGCAAGCGGAGCTGAACAGGCTGCTGGTAGGAGAGATCTGACAACATTGTGTCAAATAACCAGGTTACTCTCTGGAAAGAGAGAGATCAACACAGATGAAACCAATGAAAGGTAGTGAAGGAAACCTAGTTACCAAAGAAGGGGAACAAAGGAGACGATGGGCTGACCACTTCAGAAAACCCTTGAGTTGAACACCCCCAACCACCTGCAACTCGTCCAGAAATACCACCAGCAACGGCAGAATTACCAGTGAACACAAGCCCTTCGACAAAAGCAGAAGTCCTGAATGCCATAAAACTGCTGAAATCCGAGAAAGCGGCAGGACCAGATGGAATCCCGCCAGAAGCACTGCAAACACGCAGAGACATCTGCAGCGGAAATGCTCACATCACAACATTATTGCAGAAGGTTTGGAAGGAAGGAAGGGTTACGTTGTCAAACTCCCAACGAAGGGAGAATGAAGTCTTTGCAGGAACTGTTGCGGAATCATGCTGCTGCCCAACTCAAGCAAAATATTATGCCGCATCATCCTGGAGAGATTAAAAAAGGTGCTCTGGAGTCAAAACTACAACCGAAGCAGGCTGGATTCAGAAAGAACAAAGCATGTGCGGATCAGATTGTAATGCTATGCATCATCACAGAACACAGGAAAGAACCGCATTCCACTCTACCTTCGATAGCTTCAACCAAGAAGTAATTTGGAAACTTCTTCGACACTAGGGAGTACATCAAACCTTTATCAACCTCATTCAGCAGCTATATGAAGACTCCACATGCCAAGTGATTCACAATGTGAAGCTCAGTGATGCCTTTGAAGTGAAGACAGGAGTAAGACAAGGCTGCCGCCTACTACCACCCATCATATTCCTGATTGTAGTGGACTGGATCATGCAGCAAACCGTGAGGAGCGAGAAGAGGGGCACACACTGGACCGATGAAAAGACCCCAGAAGATTTTCATTTCGCCGATGATCACTTATGTCTAATGTCGCACAAACTCGAAGATGTACAGGTGAAAAATAACAAGTTGTCAGAAGAGGTAAGGCAGCGGAAACGAGACTTTAAGTTAATGTAGAGAAGACAGAGGTGATGAAGATACCCAACCAACAACATCAACAACAAGCATCAGTCACCATGAACGGGAGAAACCTAAATGAAGTAGTCTCTTTCACCTACACCTACCTAAGCAAGGCAGCATTGTTCCAACTACAGGCGGCACAGGCACAGATGAAGACGTCAAAGCCTTGATCAGAAAAACAACAAGAAAGTCCTTCATTATTCTGAAATAATCAGTGTGGAGATCTACTGAACTCAACTGCTCTGCACTACACTTAGCATAAAGCGTGAACAACATCCGGATTTTCAACAATCCAGTCAAGCAAGTCAGTACTTTTATGTGATAGTTGTGGGATTTGACGCGTTACGAAAAACATTCACAACAAACTGCAGACATAAATCACATCATCAGGTGCCACCTACTCTCATTCGGTACTGAAGGTGAGATCAGGTGAACAGAATAATAGGAATCAGCAACAAGGAACTCTGACTGGCTGGCAACGAACCAATCAAGAACTCGTTGCCCAACAAATATGCAGCAGAAGAAAGTGTAGATGGATTGAATTGGGCATACACTGAGAAGACGATTCGTGGACACCACACGACATGCCAGGCCAGGCCGTCGAGTGGGACGGGAATGGGAAACGACGAGTTGAGTGTCTGAGGCGAGGCTGACGTGGAGATGGTGTGAGGACTGATAAATGAAAGGTTTTGGGTAGTCGTGAAGCCAGGTTTAAAAGAGTGGAGAGAAGAGAGTGCAATGGATACGTGTTACTGAAGTCCTATTTTCCACTGAGAACTCAAGGGACAAATAATATGATAATAATTGAGCTTTGGTAAAGAGGAAATATGAATGGTTATTGATGTGTCTATCACGCAATGAATAGAAAGTATTTTTGGTTTAAAATCTTATACTAAGGTTCACAGTTTATTAATAATGTTCTATTTCAATACAAAACATAATTACTGAAATATAATACGTCTGTATTTCATTAGATAACAAGTTTATTCATTATCAACATAGCACCTAACATTACTAATTGCATAACAGTTCAGGTTACCACACTTACTTCACATAACCACATCAAATGAGAATGCGCCATCATGTAACAAATAGGACGGATGTAGTACCAAGTGGTATAAAGTCGTGAAGATGAGTCATTGATGGTAATCTGTTCACACATCTACACCAGTCCGATTGACTAAATATTTCCAACAACTGGTTACTCTTGTCACTCAGACTGCAACCTGGTGGCTTACATTCCCCTACAGTGCTGGGAACAACAGTTAACGACTTCAAAAACTGATGTCATCACTTAATCTGACCACCTCCTAATCTTTTCCACCCCGAATCTAATTCAACTAACATTGTGCAACGGAGTCAACAGTGACTAGGCCTATAAAACACATGTCCCATTCCATATTAGATTGCATATTTGACGTGGCACTGAATGATACATTATTAATGACTGGATGATGTTTCGAGCAGAATTCATTGCTCATATTCATATCAAAGTAATCATCCGATTTTCAAGCTTCCTTGATATAGTCCAACAGTTTTTCATTCTTTTATTTTAATAGTAATAAAATCTTCAATGTGTCTGCAATATGTGATGAGTCACTCCTGTTACATGTACTAGGTGTTGGTGCAAGGAACAATGATTTTATGATCCTTCTCTGCCTCCACATACTCAGCTATATTGGATTTTAGAATTGTCACCCTATCCCGACCACACCTTACGTGTAATTATAGTTCAGTGCTAAGCCGGAGTCTTTCTTTCAATTACTCACCCTAGTGGGGTCTACCATTATGTGCTTCGTTAAAATGTTTTTTTTTTATGCTATTGTGACTGACCCAGTTGACTGCTTTGACCTACATACTTGACGTCACTATCATTACATGTTATTCGGCAGATGAAGTTATTTTTCTTGGTTGACCCTATTGGATCTTTTAGGTTACACAATATCTCGATGATAGAGTTTGAGGGTTTAAATGCTACTCTAATCTCAGCCTTGTTAAGAATTCTACGTAAAATTTCCGATGTCACTTCTCTATATGGCAACACTACAGAGGATTGGAATTCTTTCTTAGACACGTTGCAGTTATCACTAACATTTTTGAATCTTCAACTACAGACGGCACAGACGAGGACGTCAAAGGCAGCCAGGATTGGAAAGACAGCGAGAAAGGCGTTCATTAGCCTGAAACCAGTGTGGAGATCTTCTGCACTCAGCATGTAGAACAAGATCCGGATTTTCAACACCAACGTCAATTCAGTGCTCCTGTATTGTTCAGAGACTTGGCGCGTTACGAAAGGGATTTCCAACAAACTACAGATATTCATCAACAACTGCCTACGCTGGCTCGTTACTGAAGATCAGATGGATCGCCAGAAAGAATAAGCAACAAGGAGCTCTGGCAACGAACCAACCAATAACCTATCGCTGAACAAATATGCAGAAGAGGGAAGTGGAGATAGATTGGGCATACACTGGGAAGGCCGAATGGGGATATCACGCTCCAGGCCAGGCACTCGAGTGGAACCCAGATGGGAAGCAACGAGTTGGGCATCCCAGCTGAGGGTGACATGGCGGAGATCGTAGGAGGATTGAATGAGAGGTTGTGGGCTGTCGTAGAGCCATGTTCAGAAGATTTCAGCAAACAGAGCGCATTGGAGACGTGCTACTGAAGCTTTTTGTTCCATTAGGAACACAAGGGACAAATGATAATAATAATAATAATAATAGTAACAATAATAATAATTGTAATAATAATAAGCTTTTTAATTAATTCTGGAGTGTAGCTATTACGAAGTAGTGTCTGTTTGATGTGTTTCAGTTCCTTATTTAGATTTTCTGACTTACTAGTCGAAGTTCTAGCCCGATTACTTAGACATTTTGAGTCAAACCTACCTTGACAGATATCAGTGAGATGATATGTAATTGAAATATCTATTTGAATGTGTTGGTTCCCTATAAACATGTTTATTTACCATCTTCTCTCCTCTTGGTTTTACAGTTCAACGTAGGTAGTTCTTCTTCATTTTCTAATTCACAAGTGAATCAGACTTCATCTACTGTTTATTTAATATCCCATTCGCCTGAGTTGATCATTGTTCACAACCTACGTTACTGACACGGTAAAGGCAATGATAGTTGAATATCTGAAGCCTTCTCACATCCTCCACCTTTAATGGCCATGTTTCATAACCATATATCAGAACAGAGGGAAATTCAGCGCAGTACATAAGATGCTTATTTTGCAATCGGACATTTTTTGAGTGCCACAGATAGCATAAGTTGACCAAGGCCAAGTGTACCTATGTGTTGATTTATGTCGATCACTGACCCACAACTACTGATCCAATTTTTTAAGTGAGTTATGTGGTCAACATACTCATCTATTTTATTCCCAATTCTTAAACAAGTCATCGCTGTGGACCAGTTATGCAACATCAGTTTCCGTCTGTAGGATAAGACTGTCTATTCAATGTCTTCATATAACATGATTATTTTATCAGTGTACACTTCATTCCTGAAAGAATTTTCTGTCATAAAATCCATTCCCTTTAGTTGATTGTTAACTCTGCAAGAAACTTTCAGGGTGAATACTAGATTCCCTAAAATATAGATTTATCTTGCAAATCCAGTCGCTAGATATGATGAGATGTGAACCTCTTGGTATAACCGCGTGTATCGTGTAAGTCGACAGCTTTAAAAAAGAAAACTGAGTAGCGAATATACTTAAATTTCTCTGTAGACTCTTTTGAAAATTAATACAATATCTTTGAATGTAACTGTATGATCGTTTCATGATTTTGGATAGATTTTACAGTAGTGGAGAATATTTGTAGCTCAGGTGGATGGTCTTGGCTGTATTGTGTTCTCTGAGCTGGGTTGTTTAATCGTGAAGCTTTCATCATCCTTCTAGACAACGTCAGCACTAACTTCAGTATGAAGTGAGCTGTCAATATCTCTCCGTGAGTGATTTAGTAGTTTGTCTTGACAAGGCAAGCTAGACCGCTTCGTCAAGCGGTGAAACTGTGAAGAAAATTTCAGAATATGATATATTATGCAATCCTTTTCGTGTTCGATCAAGCGATATCATGTTTTTGTTTAAGAAACCTTCTGATTGTAATAACCAATAATGCATGTCAGTTATGTCTTATAATTACGCATCCTACGCTATAAGCTAAACACATTTCCTAATGTTTTGCGGCCAGTACTACCTGGTAGATTGAGATTCGAACCTATGAACTAGACAGAGAGAGAAAAAAACCAATGAAGAACCTTTCATACAAGTGCATCGGTTTATCTTGTCGTACTTCACTCTAGTATACAAACAACAAATGGATAAGAAAGATTGATATCGAAGTAGACAGAGGTGTATGGGAGAAGAGGAACTTTAAAAAGCAAGGTCGGTGTAAATACCCAAGCGTTGGAATACATCAGATAGTGATCGGTTATCGGTCATTTCATCAGGAGTTCTCAACCACTGATTCCTATCGTCTCGACAACTGCAGTCAGGTTGTCAACATCACCTAACACGACTAAAACCAACAGTCAGGGACTTCTTGGACCGGTGCCACGTCTCGGTCTGGCCACACTCAACTCTATTCCAACCCAACTGAACTTCCTCTAGCATTTAACATTCAGATAGGAGGTGAATGAGCACACGCAGTACATTTGCAAGCCATCTCAGTCAACTAATTGAATTTGGGGGTTTATGAGGATTTAGAGATTTCTCAGGCTGGCATTCATAATGGACTGATATCAATTAGAGGAATATTGGAAAATTAGGAGCATTGAAAAACTCTTTCTTCCTAGTATGAGACTCTTCAGAAGTGCTCATCCACGACCCCGTCAGGGATTGGACTCGCGACCTTCAGGTTCCGTGGTCAGTACGTTACCATTAAGCCACTGTGTCGGAATCCACTGTTCCGTATTTCCAACTTCCATTAGTTCATAATATAGCACGACCACCACCTAATATCATCGTTGAGTATTTGTCTTCACGCATACCAGGTTTGCCGTGATGAATACCACCCTGAAAAGTCTCTAAACCCCGGCAAATCCCCAAATTCAATCAAACTAGGCTCATTGGAGATTAGCTTCGAGAGGTGATTCTGGAAGTTCACGTGAGAAGTCGTGACTAGTGGGGCAAACCTCATGGCCATGAGGACAAATACTCAACGATGATATCGGGTGGCGGTCACAGTTTATCGTGAACTGACAAAAGTAGGAGGTGTTGACGAATGGATTCCGACCCAGTGACTCAATGCTAACGTGGTGGTCACGGAACCTGAAGGTCCTGGGTCTGATACCTGGAGGGATAGGATGGTCCGTGCACAATACTGAGGAGTCCCATATTAGAACAAAACAACCTTCCTATGCTCCCAGACTTCCAGTGTCAGTTCATGATGAATATCAACTGAAAATCAATTAATAAACCTCGACAAACGTTCAGATGGAATACAAGTAAAATTCGCTGTCACTAAAGATTATCATTTTTGAATAGGACTTACTTTCATTTGACCTTGTTGAAATGCTGATCCATTTTCTGTAATACGATAGACAATTAATGAAGACGTGTTAGAATTGCAACCACTACGAACAGAAAAACCGAATCCATTAGGACCACGTTGTAATGTAACTGAATATAATCTTTGAGTAGAAGTATCATTCAAATTTAAATTTGGTGTAAGTTTTTCATTTGATATCTGTTTATAAAAAGAAGGGGAAAAAGCCCAGTTCTCTATTTAGGTTAGTTATATTCAAAGGTCATTGTCGTAGAAATAGAATATCTACTCTGAAAACTTTAAACAGATTGATTCTGCTAGCTAAGAAACAGAGACTAAAAAAATCAATCGTGAAGTTCGCTTACAAGTGGACCCGTTCAAGTTATCATACTTCAATTTAGCATCCAAAGAACAAGTGGATTGGGAAGATTGATATCAAGGTAGACACAAGTGTACAGGAATAGAGGAAGTTTAAAAATGAAGATTTGCCAAAATATTCAAGCTACAGAAGACATCAAAGAGTGACAAATTTTCATTCATGCCACAAATATTCCCCTATCATTGGTTCTTATCATCACGAGTATGGCAGTCAGATAGTATACACCAGCCTACCAACAGTCAGAGACTTCATCGACTAGTTTCATGTGTTAGTCTAGCCTAGCCAACCTGAACCCTCTTCAAACCTAATCTCATTTCACCTAGAATTGCACATTGAGGTAGGTGGTGACTTGGTATGCACAACACATGTTAAAACTATCTCAATTGATGATGGTTCACAGCCTCCTTCCTTGTAGTCTTCATCTGACTTCCACATTACTCACAAGGTGATTTTACCATATGATAACAGTGTTATAACGATACGTGTAGTCAAGGACCCGTAACGGCTCCATACTTTTAACTAGTTAGTAGTTCTATTAGGATTTATTTTCAGCGAACTTAAATGCTGAATTGAAAGAAATTCACTTATAGAGACTGATAACTTCGAGATAAATACTACCGTCTGTAGTTTCTATTGTTATTGAGTAGCTTGTTTAAAATGCATTCAACTTAAAAAACACGTAATTGTTCACATTCATTGCTCAGTAAAGAGCAGTCAGTGTTTCATAAACCAACTCTGAATTTTGATAAACACATTCACCCTACAAAATGTTTTCCACCATATCACATTATTAAGTTAATTGAAATACTGTTAAAAATAATGAAAAACAATTGACTGATCGCTTCCATCACATCTATTTCCTGACGACCTGACAGTGTCTATTCCAGTTAACTCTCATTTAGATTGATATGAATTAAATAGATTCTTGTCTGTAATTGGCCAATAGTCTGTCTCAAATGGTCTCAAGTTAACGTCTTCTAAATTTCAGGCGTAAACAAGACTTGTCTGAGCTGCTTAAGTCTCATGACACCTGTTGCATTGATGATATTACTGAAGAAAGTAAATGGAGTGTTAACTATCTTGAATTGTGGCTGTCTGGTAGAACTCAACTTCATCTTTTACATTTTATTAATTCCAGCATTTTTCCTATTTTTTCTAAATTGGTCCCTATTGATCTTTCCTAGTCTTCTAAAAAAAGGACGATGTTATATTGTATAGGGCTTTGAAACCTGTCAGTAGGGTGAGTGATGTGCCTCTAGCCCAACTGACTAATACTGTAGTTCACAGACATTTAAATCCCAGTAAGCAACTACTTACAGTAATTTTAACTAACACTGAGCATCCACTTCATTCACAGGTCTCTCCTTGGGGAGAACAAGAAGAAACTATGCAAAAATGTATGCTCGTACAGCTAAGTACAAGAATTCGACTGTACCTTACCTAGCATGCATATATTATGAGGAAAAAGGTGTTACAACAGAAATCACACACCAACTTTGTAACAGTTAAAAGTCAATTTATTATTATTATTATTATTATTATTATGTAAAAAGACTTACTTCTGATGTTTTCGAATCATTAAAAGAATGAAGGCATTTTGGTGAATTTGGAAGGCATATGCTTAAAGTATTCGAAGAAGAAGAAGAGATTTGATTCGTATCCAATTGGTCAGTACAGCCGATATTTGAGTTTTCGGAAGGATGATAATCTGAGATTAGAAAATACGTAAGTATATATGGGTTATTTTGGTAGTTATATTTCCCAATGATAATGTACAACTAAACAAGTTTTTTTCAACTGATGTTTCACTATTCACTGCTGATAATAGCTCTAAGTTATAGTAAACCGGAATTTACAATATCCCCCAACCTTATATATCGTAACTAGACAAGTATTCTTCTGTATGAATGATTATGTGTTGTTACGACTGTAGAATACAAAATGATATCGATATGTGGTGTATTGTGTGTGTATGTGTGTGATGAGTATATGAATTACAGACTGAGATTTGTATGTACACACACATGTGTGTGTTGATAGTTCTTATCGTATGTATGTTGGTAGTTATGTCAGCATATAGGGTTGCGTTGAGACCAGCTTTGGTCACGTTTTATTCTCTCATTCCTATTTAGACAATTATGAATCCACTTTATGTGAATACCTTCTGTCTGCTATGAGACATTCTTTATAATTTCTAAAGCTACCTCAGTGGGAACCACATCACTTTGCACTGGGGTGTAAGTATATTCAGCTAGGATAAAACGCGCGTCTTGGATTCCTCTGCTAACCACAACCAACTAAATCACCATAAGTAACAATCAGGCAATAACGAGGTATCCACATAGGAGCTTATGAGCCAATAGAGGTCGAACACTTCAATCCAATAAAATAACACAGAATTACAAGTATATCAATAAATGATAAAAGTGAGTTTACCTGTTTTTTCAACTGTTAAAATTAATTCTTGTTGACTCTGTCGAATAAGATTTACAATGTCCATATGATTAATTCCAGTTAACCAATAACCATTTATTGCGAGTATACGTTGGCCAACTTCTAATTGGCCACATTTATCAGCTGGACTTTCTGGAATGATACGTCCTTCCAGTAAAGACAAAAAGATAATAATATTAGTTCAAATAATAATTTATAATTACTATTACTACATGGTACTGATTTGAAATGATATGTAAATCTACGTTGAACCAGGTGTCTACACGTTACTGGTATGATGCCTTACTAGGAAACCTCGTTGCTAACAAGAAATAATAAAATAAATCTGTCTTCATTTAGATGATTTCATTGATTCTTAATGCAGAACAAATTTTAATATACATTGAAAGCGCCTTCATCGATTATATGAGCATCGAATGAAAGTCCTTACATTATTTAAGTTGATTTAAGATATTAAGTAAAGTGGAAAATCTTCTTGAAGGCATGATTCATGAATAATTTTGTTATCAATACCATTAGAATAGTTTCAAGGATAACTGATACTAATAGAGGTTAAAGTTGGCGCTAAAATTGCGAAAATGTGTTTAATTATACGATGAAATAGATTGACATTGAAACCTTGAACTGATTCATTTTTGATGAAATGCTGAAGTATTGCGTTCACATTCAATTAGTAGAATATCTTAGGTGTAATGATGGATCGTGGCTAGCAGTGGAATCCAGGATGCACATTTCCTTCTATTTGGGACTCGTCAGCTGGATGTATCTGCCTCCCAGTGAGTGAAGTTTTTCCCACCGTGATTCAGACTCAGGAGCGATCTCTTCAAACGCCAGCGCGTTATCTACTACACCACCGAGCCACGATAGCCACTTCTTGCGCAACGGGTATAGTTTTAGTATAATTGTTTTTATATCATACCGTCGTTGACTGGTACATAAGGCTGACGAAATGCGCATCCTGGATTCCACTGCTAGCCACTATGCATCACTAACATAATTAGAATGTTGGCAGTATCGAGACATCCGCATAGGAGCCCATATCCCAATAGTGGCCGATCAATTCGGTCCATTCAACGACGGTATGATATAAAAACAATTATGCTATCTTAGGCGCAGTTTTACTTTAAACTGTTGTGTTTATTCCGGATCTTACAGAAGGTCATAGCCATTGAAATATATGTGAACGTAATTTACTCACTGTTAGAGCTAAAAACTTAACCACGAAATTATCTATACCATAACTGTAACATCCTGTAGAATGAATAAATCTGTTTGTTAAACACTTTCACATATAATTTTAACAAATGATTATATGTGTAGGTAAAACGTTTAACAGGTAGTTAAATAGCTTCTAAACATTTCAACAGATTTCATCGCTTTTAAGGAGACTTGAAACTTTGTTATTATACTACTGAATCTTGGTTAGAGATTACAGAATCACGATAAAGTTGGTATTCACCATGGACTGACATCAGTTAAAGTTACATTGAAAACCTGGGAGCACTGAACAGCGGTTCTGTCCTAATATGGGACTCCTCAGCAGTGCACGCGCATCACCCCCCATCCCTCCGGGTGTCGAATTCAAGACCTTCAGGCTCCGTGGCCAGCACATTAGTATTGAGTCACTAAGTCAGAGTCCAGTGTTCTATATTTCCAGCTTTGTCGGTTCGTGAGATAGTGAAACAATACTAGGATGAAACAGCTATCCAGTACTCCCAGGTTTCCTTTGTTTCTTCAACTGATGTCAGTCTACGATGAATAACAGCTTGAAATATTTCCGAATCCCCACAACTCCCTCAAAATTCAGTTTTACTATACATCCGTAGTGGTTTAGATATTACAGTTTACGAGAAACCAGACTTCAGATCATCTCATCCAATATCAGTTAAGGCGGGTTCAGTCAAATGTTTCAATAATAGAGCTGTAAAACTCACTAGTGAACCTAAGGACATAAATATGTAATTGAAACGTATGAAGAAACCATTAATAATCAAAAATTATCATCTAGATTTTATTAAGAAATTCAGTTCAACTAAATTTTAGTGACAGGAAACCTTGAGGACAACTAGTCAGTTTGCAGACACCGTGTTCAAGGTCATTCCTTACGTCCATTTACCGTGTTGTTGACGCCACATAAACCATTGATGAATTATAATGTAGATCGCATAGGAGGTTGCTTGTGAAAATTGTTTGAGAAGGTAATGTGGTTGGAACAGATGAATATCTTGTTCGGAAACTTAAATATAGGCCTGGGAAATAACCCAAACAAGGCCGATCAAAGAAACTAACCCTAGAAGTTTTTTGTAAACATTTGGGATTGAGTATCACAACATACAGAAGTGCTACTTATTTAAAATCCAGATATTCTGATTTCTCATGTAAAACAGATTAATAAATTATCAATGAAGTATCTTTTCCCCCAATGACTACCACGTTCTTCATATTCTTGACTCCAATTGGTCAGTGCATATTCGAACGTGATTGGTTGCCACTAAAGTTTAGGAGGATCAGAAGTTTCTTAAAAAAGCATAGAAAACGAATATGTAATAGTAATATGAGTAGTAACGACATCAGAAACAGAATAGAGTTCAAGGCTTTTATCAAGTTAACACTTAAAGAGGGGACATCCGACTGCTGACCACAATTTTATTTCACTTCAGTCACCAAGAGTTTGACCCGACTACCATGTGAATTCATGATGCGTTACTACCGCTAGATCGTATCCACAGTGGCTGCCTAGTCGCTGGTTCGAACCCGGCCAAATTTTTATTTCACCTTCAATCGTCACCCAGTATAAATACTAGTCTGCCAAACTATAGCCATCTCATATAGTCAAGTGATAATCAATATGATGCTCCCTCTTTCCGATTTAGTTGAATTTGGATTGGGATGAGAAGTCTTGACCACGGGTAGCCAGTGTGAGTACAATCAAACGATAGTAACCCAGATAGTGACAAGGATATACAATTTTGAAGACAACACACAATAAATCTAGTCTTACCAATGTGCAAACTCATTGAAAACATTTTTTTGTTTTTAAGGAAACTTCAGTAAAACAAAAACTTTCCACTTTGGAACTGTGTGCAAAACACATTTGATAACATGAATACTCAGAAATAAAGTTTACTTTTATTTTCAAGTTTTTTGACATTCTTTAAGGTCACAATACAATGAAATCACCTTCTATTCATTCCCCAGTCAAGACCAGACGCTAATGTTATAGCACGTGAATAGTGTTTAGTTGTTTGAATGGTAGTCGAGAAGTGAGGCTTGTACGTGTTCTTTCTGAATACAATGTTCACGCTTAGTTGATTGTATAGCTACAACTCTCATCATGTGGAGAATGCATAGACGAGTGTAATGTGGTAATTCCTTAATATAGGAGTAAAACTCGAGCACTATGACCGACTGTAATTCCATTTTAGTCTGTTTATTAGAAATGTCATACAGTGATGAAACAGTATCATTTACTGGATAACCACATTTCGGAACAGTTTATTGTCCATATTCATATCTGATCAGGTAACTTCACAACTTCGAGACAGACTTAATATATTCCTAATTTCTCTCCTTCTGTGTGAAGACAAGGGTAGTAGAATTTTGCATATACCGGGGACAGGTGCAGAATCATTCCTATTACTGCATGTATTTGGTGTTGATTCGATAAATAAAGATTCGGTTATCAATTTCTTCCTCCATGCACCCAACTAGGTCTAGGGACGGTGAATAAAGTTTACATTTTATTCTTCAGTACTTATTCATTTGTATCAGTGTAGTTACTATGAAAGTGATTCCGATCTGAAATGGTTCTAGGTATGAATTCTTAAAGTGGCCTTAACAAATCACTAAGAAAATGAAGGTGCTGTTATTTCAAACATATTTGGAACGCGGTATAAAGTAGGGAGTTTGGTTTAACACTATACAAAAGGGTGTGTGGGTTAAATCTTATTATTTTTGCGGAACAAAATGTGTTAATTACATTCAAGCTATTAGATTATAACTTGATCCTTCTTACGGTGAGTGTTTATAGTTCCTCTGGCATTTGAAGCGATATGCTATGTTTTGAGTCCCATTGGGGTCAACATCACCTACAGGAGGCAGGTACACTCAGGTGATAAGTGGTAAAAAGGATGGAAATCATATTCTGGATTCTTTGGTTGACCTCTACTCTTCTTGGTTATCAATTGTTTAGGATGTATTAGAGAAACGTATTGCAATTTTTCGCGTAAATGAATGTACAATATAGACAAATTTCTCTATCATTGAAGGCTGAGTGAAGAGGATAACAATTCATGATTTCAGTCAATGCTTCAAAAAATTACTCTATGACAGTGGATAGTTCTATTCTCATAATTTGTCAAAAACTAATATCATTCCATCATATCTGTTGCACTAAGGTATACTGGTTTAAACTACATAATTTTCTAATATTATTATGCAAAATTATTTCGAAGAAGCAAGTGTAACGATTCACATGTTAACCTGCTTTATTGATTCACTCTTCTCTCAGTCAAAAAGTGATTCGTCTGTATAGAGAAGAGTTATAAAATTGGAAGAATTCAGTTCACTCTGTGAAATTTATAGTTCTCTATCAATGTAAATTATCATCTCCATTAAAGTTGAAAATGGATATTCTGTACAGCACAAAAGTTTAATATAATCTACGGTTTGAAGGAATTCGATACAGAACTACTGCACTAATTGACCAGAATGCGTATACAGCAGCAGATAATGATACCAATGAAGAAGTGAAAGATATTACTTCATAGAAATTTGTACGCTTAAGAGCGCTCCTTATATCATCGTACTTTTAGTTGAGATTATCTCAGGGTGACATTAAAATCCGTTTTCATTATAAAACTGTCTTTGATAATTGTTCAGTGTAACACGCTTTCAGTTACCTCAATCAACAAAATGAACAATTTTACATTGCATCAAAGATGCCTCATCAATTATCAACAGATTACTTCTTCCATTCTCAATCAATGTGACATATGTGTATATCCCATCAGTATATGATTGGTCATCAAGTGTACTCATATGCTCTTACCGTGTGGATGCATTTTTTGCCATCTAGCGAAGAATTCGGGTGTAGTCCGCGCATTTTTGACTTAATATACAACTAAACTATAAAAGATCAGCTAAATGGAGGTCAGTCAGTCAGACAAATCAGTTATCCGACATTAGGTCAAAAGTATGCATCGCTGAACTACAACATTTAAATAAGGACAGGTCACTCCCACCCACATGTCAATAACACTGTAGGTCAGCAAGTATCTAAAATAAACACACATACAACTTGAAAATGCTTCATTTCTTATCATAATAAATGTGCGGTAAGCTGCTTAGCCTGGTTCGAGGATAAACCCTAAAGCTGGGAGAACACTAAACAATCATCATTCAATCCTGAAATGCAAAGTGTCTCCACCATCTGAAAGTACTACATGTTTTTTTTAACTGGATAGAAGGTTATGATATTTGTTTCCAAACTAATTATATAGATGAAAATTTATATGTATATGTATATATATATATAATGTTCTTTTATCTTACATTTCTTGGGTGCTCTAACATCAGCGATAACATTTATTAAAGTAGATTCGCACTACTTATAAGCAAAAACAGTAGTAAGACTTAATTTGACGCATGTCGATGAATCACTGTTTTCAGCCCTATCTAAAAATATTGAGCTTCCAGCGATAACAATCTGCAGTATTACCTGGAACTTTCGTTAACTGGATGCTTCTTAACCAGTAATTTTCACTTGAGTTGTGGCTGATCAGTAGTAAGGAAAACATATGAATAGCAGGTTATCAGATAAAGTAGTTAGTACACCATCAATTTCATGTTTCACAGAAATCAAAAATTATAATTTGGCATTAGCACGCACGTATCGTGTATTTCCTGAGGAATACAATACACTTACCTATTTCGCTTGCCTTTTGATTATTCAATGAAGTGACAATTACAAAACCAAAACCTTCATCCTTCTTTTTCACTAACTTTACATTGATTATTTTGGAATTATGAAAGTTATTTATTGGATCATCAACTAAAGGAATCAAAATAAAGCAAAAACAAGATTTTTCTCAGCAGTGATCTCATATGTTTATAATGTTTTGTCATAAAATGTGCTTATTTTAGCAGTAAATTAAATCTCAGCGTGCATTTCAGTGGATTCAGTATAACAAGTTCGAAATGAGAACGCAAAACGCTTCTTGGACTCCTCTGATATACACCAACAACCAAATAAAGACATACTGAATAAACAGACAATATCCATGAACTTTCTAGGCTACAAAACTCGATTCCATCGATCCGGAATAAAAATTAGAGGTAGTCACCTTAAATATAAAGGAAGAAGTCACCAAGTGGACTGAATTTCGGTCTTGGTGACTATTAGAAGAATCCAGGACGCGCGTTTCGTCCTATTTTGAACTTGCCAGCTGGGTTTACCTGCATCCCAGTGAGTGATGTTGTTCCCAATGAGGCTTGAGTACAGTAGCATTCGCTGCAAATGCTATGAAGTTATCTGCTAAGCCACTGGAACACTATAGCTACCTCTTGTATAACGGGTATCAGTTGTTGTAATGATACTTGTAATTTCATGATGCTATACAGGGCTGATTCGCTCGATGTCTGAAATGAAATCAGCTAGCGTTAGAGCTCTCTTTGTTGAACAATTGAAGAAACCGATAAAACAACGTTTTCCTAAGAAGAAGATCAATTTGTAAATGATTTGCAGATTGTATGGTTCAAGTTGACATTTTTGACAAGGTTGAATAGTTTCTGAACTGTCCAACTTTAGTGTCAACAGGATTTATGTTGGGAACCAACCCACCGGTCAAGATCATAAGTTTTGGTCTCTGACAAAAAAAGTCTCATGAACTGATAAAGTGTACCACTGAACAACAGGAGGTAGTTAGAAACTATTCATGCTGCTCTGTGAGCTGAATTTGTCGCGGTACATCGTTTATGAGCTCGACACCATTCGAGAAAAATAGCTATCTGGTGTTTACATCACTCTGGTCTGGTTGCTTTACGATGTCTACAGATTGAAATTGTTTCTAACTATTCCAGTTGTTCAGAAGTACATTTTTTCAGAATGTATATACACAGTCAGGAACAGAAAACTTCAGATTTCTCTCTTAATAGTCTTTCAGTTTGTCGAAAACTGAAGAAATCGTAGCATAATAAGAGGTTCATTCTCAAGTCAGATACATGCAAACATTAACGACATATATATATATATATATATATATATATATATATATATATATATGAATATGAATATGGCCGCCTGCTTAAACCTTGAGCTACCGAAAATTCCTCACCGAATATATTTCGTCAAATTTCTCCCTTTGAATTTGTTTTGATCTTTTAAGTTAGTCTTTTAAACGCGTCATGTACACTCGCACACTTTAAAATGGTTTCAAACTGCCGTTTTTTTTAGCTGATAAAAAAACAAAGAAATAACAGTAATCCAGTACAGTAAATTACCGTTCCTTGGATAACTGTGTCGAATTGCAGACTTTGGTATTATTATTATTTGTCCCTTGGGTTCCTAGTGGAACATAGGGTTTCAGTAGCATGTCCCTGTTCCACTCTGTTCTCTGAAATCTTTTGAACATGGTTCCACGACTTCCCACAAGCTTTAATTTCTTCCTCACATGATCTCTTCCATGTCACCCTCATCTAGGACGCCCAACTCGTCGTTTCCTATCTGCGTCCCACTTGAGTGCCTGGCGTGCGATGTTCCCGAATGGTCTTCTCAGTGCATGCCCAATCCATCTCCATTCCCTTCTGAGTATTTGCTGAGCGATAGGTTCTTGGTTGGACCGTTGTCAGTCAGAGGTCCTTGTTGCTTATTCCCATTATTCTGGTCATTTGAGCTTCAGTAACGAGCGTAGGCAGTTATTGGTGAATATCTGTAGTTTGTTGGAAATGTCTTTCGTAACGCACCAATTCCCTGAACCATATAGAAGCACTGACTTTCTTGACATTGGTGTTGAAAATCCGCATCTTGTTCCACATGTTGAGTGCAGATCTCCACACTGGTTTCAGGTTAATGAACGCCTATCTTGCTTTACCGATCCTGGCTTTGACATCCTCATCTGTGCCACCTGCAGTTGAAACTGCTGCCTAGATAGGTGAAAGAGGCTACTTTCTTTAAGTTTCTCCTATTGATGGTGATTGAAGCTTGTGGTTGCTGGTGTTGGCGTTGGTTGGGTATCTTCATCACCTCTGTCTTCTCTACGTTCACTTGAAGTCCCATCTTCGCAGACTTTGGTACTGGCTCATTAAACGATCGCTACCAAAATTATGCTTGACTTTCTATTCATTCCCCAGTCAAGACCAGACGCTAATGTTATAGCACGTGAATAGTGTTTAGTTGTTTGAATGGTAGTCGAGAAGTGAGGCTTGTACGTGTTCTTTCTGAATACAATGTTCACGCTTAGTTGATTGTATAGCTACAACTCTCATCATGTGGAGAATGCATAGACGAGTGTAATGTGGTAATTCCTTAATATAGGAGAAAAACTCGAGCACTATGACCGATTGTAATTCCATTTTAGTCTGTTTATTAGAAATGTCATACAGTGATGAAACAGTGTCATTTACTGGATAACCACATTTCGGAACAATTTATTGTCCATATTCATATCTGATCAGGTAACTTCACAACTTCGAGACAGACTTAATATATTCCTAATTTCTCTCCTTCTGTGTGAAGACAAGGGTAGTAGAATTTTGCATATACCGGGGACAGGTGCAGAATCATTCCTATTACTGCATGTATTTGGTGTTGATTCGATAAATAAAGATTCGGTTATCAATTTCTTCCTCCATGCACCCAACTAAGTTAGTTTTTAACGCTCTTGCTTTATCCTACCCTACTGTGTGATTGTGTGTAATTGCGTATGGAGCTATAGTCTAGCTTTTCTGTAAATTTCTTACCTTATTAGGATCTACTCATCTTGACTTAGGCAAGTTTTTGTGTTCTTTTATTCTAATCTACCTTGGTCGACCACTGTGACCTATGTAGTTGACCTCCCAATCATTACAAGGGATCTGATTATCCAAATTATTTTGCTTAATTATATAGATAGATTCTTTTAACCACAATGCTTTTTTCTAAGCGAGTTTGTTAGCTTACATGTCACTCTAATCCCAACTATCCTTATTGAGAATTCTTCGTAATGCTTCTGAGGTACCGTCCTTGTATGGTAACACAATACAGGCTTTGAATTCTCTCTCAACCGTGTCACCAATATTACTATTAGTAGTAGAATTATTAATAATAACACCCGTATTACTACTACTACTACTACTACTACCACTATTAATATTTTCCTTTCAATTTCTTATGAATTTATTTACGAATTTTGGTGGGTAATTGTTGAAATGCAAGGTATTCTTGATGTGTCTAATTTCTTGTCATAGATTTTCTGGTCTATTTGTGAGCTTCTTCGCCTTATCACTGAGGCATTTAACTAAGCCTACTTTAACTGAAATGGGGTGGGTGGATTCGAAGTCTAAGAGGCGATTCGAATGGGAAGGTTTCCTATGGACACTAGTCTCTAAACTTCCAACTTTTCTTCGTTTCATCTTTCGATACAACGATGCTAGCTCACCTTCATCACTTTCTAAGTCATAGATACATTCACCACTGAATGTTTATGTGCTAAAAGCCTATTGATGTGTTCCGATTTCAGTACTGTAAATCTGTCATCTGCATATCGGAGCCATACCTTTGGAGTAGGACTAAATGTTTGAAGGAACATTCATTCCCAACTATCCATAAATATGTCTGCGACGATAGGGGATATTGATGATCCCATGGCAACAACTTCAGTTTGTTTACATATTTCGTTTTGAAACTCAAAAACTATAGATGTTAGGCACAATCATACTTTTAGCATGATTTCCTCGATCGGCACCGTAGTTCGATGCGTAAGCTCTTTGTCATCCTTAAGCCTATTTCTAACCGTCTCTAGAGCCATGTCGATCGGTATATTTGTGTAAAGGCTAGTTATGTAAAAACTAACCATTTTTTAATTGTCATCTAACCTGTGCTTTTAGTCTTAAGATGTACAGTGGTAAGTTCTTCGGAATGCGATGTGTCACAGTAAAAACTGTGCTTGAATCTATGTGGTGTCTCACTTCTGACCAAATGTGTTAGTATAAAATTTCCAATAGATTTTAGCTTCTCCTTTCTAAACCAAGCCGGTAAATGCTCTTGATTCTGAGTTGAGCATGCCTCAGTTTGTTCTGTAAGTAACTTGTTTCTATTCAATAGATTTCGGTAAAGTGGAACCTTTTCAGATGTCAACTTGTTCAAATAATGTTGGCTTTTTACCGCCTGAATAGATAATTCTTATCTCTTATGTGAACAAGTTACCAAACAATATGCTCTGTCACACTATCAGGTTCAAAATTCGGCATTTATCATTTCCTTCATGATTTCTCTCTCCTTAGTCGGAATGTTCAACTTTTCTGTCAATTGCATTATCCGTGAAGTTAATCAATCAAATGTCGACTTGTTGTTCTGCGTGTCATATATCTTTCCTTTGTGCTTTTAGGGTTAAGCAATATAAGCTTGATACATTCGCCTTGATTTTTTACAAACTCTTGCACAAAATTCCTTAGAATTAGCCAATGACATCCCGATCAATACAAACAGTTTACAGTCACTCAGTTATTGTTTTCTATGCAGTTTTGCAACTAGGTAAGGGATTAATGATGGATAGTAGATGACAGTGGAATCCATGACTCACATTTCTTCCTGTCTACCTGCCACTGAGCGATGTTTTTCTCACGAGGACTTGAAGCCGAGATCGATCGCTTCAAGCGCCAAAGTATTACCAACTAGGCCATTGATTCAGGTTGACCATTCTTTAAATGACGAATATAGTTTCCATTTTATTGCCTCTAGTTCCCTGTCGTTGATTCCATTGAAGTGATCAGCCTCTGTTAATACACGTCTCGATATTACTTGTAGTTTTATTTCGATTGAAATGACAGATAGTGGCTAGCAGCGAAATCCGGGATACGAATTCGGCAAAAAGCCAAATTCACAGGTCTCATTAAAAGCTGATTTGTTCTCCGTCTCCTTAATTCAGTTCTATTTCAACTAGGAAGAGGAGACTTAGTTGTGCTGCCAGTTTCGATATGACGAATAAACAATTACCTATTACGAATTTATATGGTAACTGAAGTCCGTAGCTGGGTCTCATAGCGCAGCTCAGTTGGTAGATCAGTGGACCAGCACCAGGAAGCCACCGGTTCGAGTCCCGTAGCTACCCAACTTTTCAAGTTGCATTCAATCATCAGCCTGTGTTATAATAACCTGACATATCTAAAAATCAGGAAAGAAAGAAATGAAGTTTCAAGCTTACCTGTCAGCTTTGTCGACTCAGATTTTCCAGTATTATTTGATTTACGAACAGTTAAGGTGACAAATCCCTTGTTTTTCTGTGCTGCTAATTGAATTAGTTCTTCAATTTCATTTGGTTTACGGTTTAGAACAGACTGGTTTTCAATAGCAACCAGTAGATCACCGTCTAGATGATTCTGATTCAACTCTCTTGACTGTAAATTCACGTTCATGGGTATAATACTTGGCTAAGGAGAAAACGGAAACGAAATTACTATCCTTGGATTTTTATACAATTTCATTTGGTTATTGAATGTTTAATTGATCAGTTCATAAAACAACCCACCATAAATAGGGTCTTCTAAGTTCTGGTCACACTTTATTTCCCTTTGTTTGAACATGGGTTTAAATACTGAAAGGTACGGGGTCTTTTCTAATCAGCTAACACAGTTCGGACTGTTTTTGGATTTTGGAAGTTCATTTATATACCAACATGTTGACTGTAGTTTTCACTTGAATGATTGAAACCGTACGAAATTCCTAAAGGTACAATGACTACCAGTTTAGTCTTTTAAAACAATCTTGTCTTAGGTACCAAGCTAAAGCGACTTGGAAGTATTTTGTCGCTTTGTAGCTATTGTTGTTCTACCATGAAAGATTCTTTAAGATATTAAGGTTTTTGGTATCACAGAAAACACGGTTGACTTTTACCAGGTCGAGGTAAGAAAACTGAAAGTCAGAAATGAACGTTAGTCATAATGTTAAAGACAAAGCGCAAAGTGAAAGAAGCAAAACAACTGATGTATTAAAAACGTTGCAATCTTTTATACTACTGATGTTATGAGTTAGTAGTGTCACTCACTTTCAAAACATGATGCTAAAACTACATCAATTACATTAAATTAGAGCAGGGCAAACCCCTCTGAAGTGAGGAATAATGTCATGAAAGCACATTATTACCCAACATGACCTTAGAGTTTTCATATGAATAAGGAAACTGAATTATTTCAAATTCATTCTTAGTCATTATCACCTAAAGGGGCTATTATTTTTATCAAAAGTACGATGGCTATGTGACTTTTCCGCTCGTTTCAATCACTATTATTCGTGCTGTTATCCAGTTATTGTTGTCATATAAGGTATCTCCGATGTTCGTGTTCAACTTTGTCAAGGATATAATAATGGACATAACCTTAGGTACCAGTTACTTCACACGGACTGATCTACTCCAGGGGGGAGCATCTGGTCGAGTCCGAGTACAGAAAAGATATTATCCTGATAAATAAAGACGTTGAAAGAAAAATGAATACACCCGTGAACGCGTTGAACAGAAATCTGAATATGTTTGGCATACGTTTCACACCTGTCAAACGTAAGATGATGCTCCAGGACTGGTCTGCAGCTACTATCAATTTAAAGAAAGTGAACTGATACAGTACCCTGACCACTCCATTTACTTGGATAATTGCATCAGCCCGAATGAGGTGGTTGCTGATGAAATCTCAACTCGGATATAAAAGGAGTTTCTAACATTTGCCAGCTCTCTTCATCTGTGGCAGCGAATGGCGAGGTATCCTACTACCTGTTAAGGGACGAGAGCTGAGCAATCTCTTTTGTCCTATTGTATGGTTCTGAGACTGACCACGAAATGCAGAAGATATGAAGCTATTGCTGTTCTTTGACTATAAGTGTCCTCGTAGCACTGGTCACGTATAGAGGAACTACGATTTAGGCAATGTCAAGGTTGGGTAAACTTAGTCGTTGTGGTTGTTAGATTTCAGTGACTGAGGTGGGTTGGACATACGTTGAGCATAATCAGCTATTTCCTGCCTTGACGTGCAATACTTGGCGAATGTGGATTAGGTTTAGAGAGGGCTTAGGGTGTCTTAACCAATGCATTAAGTTTCTGACTGTTGGCCTATGTCATGTAGGGGAGCGTAGACTACCTGGATAGGGTCTGCAAGGCCTCAGAAATCTGTGGTTGGCCACACTTTGTGGCATGATTGAAAATCAGTCACCGTGATGCAACTGTATTCACTCATTGATGTCTTCTAAGGTTGTAGAGTTTTCACTGATCATCACTTTCTAACTGTTTCTCCTTCTATGAACCATTTGTATACTTTCATGTACATCGTTTTCTTTGCATCCTACTGTGAAGTGTGGGGACTTAAAGCGAAGGATTACTGTGCGAGATTATGTGTAGATTTTGTCCATCTATCTTTATCTCCGACCAATTAAACTACATTCAATCTTGGTTGTGTTGTGTTCGCTGAACTGGGTTGACTAATCGTGGAGAAGCTTTTATCGTCTTTCTAGATGACATCATCACCACTAACTTCAGTATGGAGTGAGGTTTCAATACCTCTCCGTGAGTGATTTAGTAGCTTGCCTTGACGAAGTGGTCTGTGGTTGGTTGTTTCCTTTGGTTGTTGTGTCATTGGCTGTATAGATCTTCCTGCTGGCTGTTCTTCTGCTTGACTTCTCACTTTTCTGTCATTTATCATTAATCTCATTGGTTAATAGATTGAGTCTATGTTTATACATCTCTTGATTACTGACTGACCTGAGTGCCAAGCTCCTAGGGATTCTCCAATATTCTATGCGTTTCCTCTGTCCAACAGAATGCAACATTCAAAAAAGACAAATCAAACACCATTTACAAGACAAAGTGCAATAACTGTAGTCAACACCACATTGGATACAATGGTCACCGTCTTCGCCTTCGTCCACATGAAAACCGATTGACCATTAAACGTCACGACGTTTCATCACCCATTTGAATGCACGGGAATTATTATGGACATGAATTCAATTTCGACAGAGTGGAAATTTTGGACGGTAGAAGCACAAAGAATATCAGAGAATTCCCAGAAGCTTGGCGTTCAGGTCAGTCAGCAATCAATAGATGTATCGACGTGGACCCAATCTATCAACCAATAAGAAAGATGATAAACGACAGAAGGGTCAGAGGTGAAGCAGAGAACAGTCAACAAGAAGGTCTATGCAGCCAATAATACAACAATCAAAGGAAATAACCAATCACAAACCATTTTGTCAGGGCAAGCTACTGAATCGCTCGCGGAGAGGTATTGACATCTCACTTCTTACTGAAGTTAGTAATTATGAATAGTGATTCGCAAAGGAATGCAAGAAGTGTGTATCCTCCCATTCGGGACTCGTCAGCTAGGTGTAAGTGCCTCTCCCGGTGGCGATGTTGGCCCCTTTTTCCCTATTTGGAGTCAGTAACTGAGTGGATAACCTTGCAGAATTAGGATCGTTAGGCTGTAGGCCCAAGAGTCAGTGAAAAGGCAAGTACGTTAAACTGAATAGTCCAAACAGGACGAAACATGTGTCATGGGATCTACAGCTAGCCACTGTCTATCATTACTACAACATTATAGTTGGGAATTTCTTTGAGTTTGATCTTGTCCTAAGACTACTGCTATTCAGCTGCATCAATGATCACAAAGATAACTACTACTGTAGTGGGTGTTGCTGATAAGAATGGATATAAGTAGTATATGTTGAGAGGGTGGCAGAAATCGTAGGGAATTACCAAATAGGACGAAATGCGCATCCTAGATTCCACTGCTAACCACCATCTATCATTACTATCATAAGAGCGCAGGTAATATCAAGGCATCCATCTGCACAGAATCCCATGTGCCAATAGAGACCGATCAATTCGGTCCATTCAACGACGGTATGATACAAAAACAATCATATACTAAAAACTATACCCGTCGCATAAGGCTATCATGGCTCGGTGGTGTAGTGGATAACAATCTGGTGTTTGAAGCGGTCACTCCCGAGCCCGAATTCCGGTGGGAACAACTTCACTCACTGGGAGGCAGGTGCATCCAGCTGACGAATCCCAAATAGGACGAAATGTGCATCCTAGATTCCACTGCTAGCTACTGTTCACCACTACTACCAGCAATGGGTAAGGAATCCGCCAAAAGAAACTCAAGAGACAAGGCAGGCGTGTGAAGAGCGAGTGAAGAAAGAAGTAGGAGAGGAAATGAGGCAGTTTTGCAAATGACGGTTTTAGTGCAAGGTGTACCATACTTGTCCCATATGTTGACGATAAACATTCCTTCCTTCCTTCCTACCTGCCCTCTTGTTTCTTTCACTACTTCAATACTACTCACCTATAAACTACATTATCAAGAGTGATCAAGTTTTCTTTTCTAATCCATCTAGTCATATTTTATCCTGAATATGAGTTGCAAAGTCAGTGAGTGATCTAATATGACTTGGGAAGTTAAATATGTACCTAACTAGCTTCAAAAACAAATAACCTCAACAGATCCGATAAGTGCAAGTGACAAACATCCATCTTCGTCTATCGCTAAAACATATACTAGAAACTAACAGCAGGGTAGACATGAAAACAGCTTTCAAAGTACTACATGAAAGCGGTCAGAGCCGAGTGCTTAAATTTATTGAAGCTCTCACCACCCTTAAATTCAAATCCCCTTTATGTGTACACAAACAATTTGTACTCAAGTTGAACCTACCTTGGTAGTATTGATCGCAATTTTCATACCAAGAGTATTGTGACTAAGATTTTGTTTTCTTCTCTGCCCTTCCTATTCCTATAATTCCTATTTGACTTCATTGACCCTTTACGTAAATTTTCATATGAACAGTTCAAGAAAGTCGATGTGTGATCACATTGTTTGACATGTATAGCGTTAATACATCACGACGTGTTTCAGATAATCTTCATCTTCTCATTACCCTGCTTAAATTTACCACTAGCCGCAGTATTCAGTGTATTTATATTGAAAATTAATTATACATATATAATTAGCTAATGGGTCACTAAAAGGTCAAAAACAAGATATTCAGCAAAAAGGAATCTGACGAGTTTTTTCCCAAGCTGTACATTCGTATACACATACATGATATTTAAAGATTGTAATCCGCGAGGAAGATTTAAATTAAATAATGGGAGATTGAAACAGTAATAATGGTGGTTATAGTAATAATAATGTTGCTAGTTGATGACGTATAGGTCGAATGATAATAAAAAGGGGTTGCGTAAGATTTTCAAGTCGTTTATACTGGAGTGAGAACATTAATAAACAATCAAAGGTGACTAGGTAATATGAGTGAGGCAACAAGTTAATTGGAGTAAATTGAAAATATTTTGTTAAAAGTTGCAATTGTTGGGAAGATCAAATGAAGTAATACCGGAAACAGTTAAATATAAAAAACAAGACGTAGTTTCAGCAAAGAAAAT